GAAGCCAGACCTTGAAACTGCAAGGTCATTAAATGCTAATCAAGGTGGCCTATTGAAACATTCACACCTACCTGAAACAGACAGTTCTTTCTCCCACCCTAGACATTCCACAGATATATAAACCCAATTTTCCTAGTTTCCAACAAACCTCACAAACTCTGAGGATGCCTGACATAGATGCAGGCGAAACATCAGGAGAGAATGCTTCTGGAACATGGCCTTACAGCCTGGAAAACAACAAGAACAGTACTCTATGTGCCATAAAAGGCTTAAGACCATGTATAAACTACAGCTCCCATGATTCCAAAGCATGGCGCCATGGCAGTTAAAGTGGTGCCAAATTGCATTATTTCTACAGTGTAAATTCACCCTTTATGGTGGTAGGGCTGACCTGAACAAGTTTTCATGTAAATTTCAACATTTTAAAAAAGGGCTTAGTAGCTATATAGACCATGAATGGCTGTTTCATTATAACACTGTACTACCAGTGTTTAATCAAACTGATTTTCTCCCTGCTGTGGCCTATTAGGGGATTGATCTATCACATTCCCTTTTTATGCCCTGCCTGGGCAATTAGCAGAATCAGAAATTTGTTGAGCCCAGGTGGACTGCTGTTGAATTATCTCTTAACAGAAGAGTGAGTATGCTTGTCTTAATAACTGAGTTGGGAATAGAGCTTGTTCAAGAACTTAAAAGAAAATCGTTTAAAATAAGTGAATGCACAGGATTTCTGTACTCCCTGCCGCCCTCTGAAAAACAAGCCTTTTAATAGGAAAGGCAAAACTTGTCTGCCTAGCAAAATTATTATTATTTTATTTACTGTATTTATATCCCACTCTTCTCACACCGAAGGGGACTCAGTAATTATCTAGTAATTCATTCAGAATTAAATAATGGGCAGAAGTGGTTTGTTTGAAGCAGGGCAGACATTCCTCCATCATCATATTCACTTTATATAGGACATTTGCATTTCTATTAATTTCTGCCCATTGCTTTTTCTTGTTTTGTAATGGGATTTGGGCCTGCATCAATAGGAGTCTAGTGTCTAGATCCAGGGAAGTCATGCTACCCCTCTATTCTGCCTTGGTTAAACCACATCAGGAATACTGTGTCCAATTCTGGCCACCACAATTGAAGCTGGAATGTGTCCAGAAGAGGGCAACTAAAATGACCAAGGGTCTAGAGAACAAGCCCTATGAGGAGCGGCTTAAAGAGCTGGGCATGTTTAGCCTGAAGAAGAGAAGGCTGAGAGGAGACATGATAGCCATGTATAAATATGTGAGGCGAAGTCATAGGGAGGAGGGAGCAAGCTTGTATTCTGCTGCCCTGGAGATTAGGATGCAGCGCAAACTACAAGAAAGGAGATTCCACCTGCACATTAAGAAGAACTTCCTGACTGTGAGAACTGTTCAACAGTGGAACTCTCTGCCCCAGAGTGTGGCGGAGGCAGCATCTTTGGAGGCTTTTAAACAGAGGCTGGATGGCCATCTGTCGGGGGTGCTTTGAATGCAATATTCCTGCTTCTTGGCAAGGGCTTGGACTGGATGGCCCATGAGGTCTCTTCCAACTCTATGATTGTATGATTCATTTTTGGAAAGTCTTCTCAGGGTGCTGCCACAATGTAATGGTGGAATGGGTAGCTAGATAGGAGAAAGATCCTCCTCATACTGACTTCATGCTAAATACTTATATCACAGTTCTATACATGTTAAAGAAGTTTCCAAAACTGACGCAAAGTGTGACAGCCTGTTTGCTTTCTGGTGAGTGTCAAGCAGGCAATATTAATCCAAACTTTATATCAAATGCACTAGGTTTCAATTTATATCAGGGCCTGTTCTGGAACAGCTGTTCCAGGAGCTCCAGATTTATTTGCTGTGTTTAAATGTTTGTGTGCAATCCTATGCTTGGGATTTTGCAGCAGGGGGTTTCCTGTTATAATTTGCATTTATAGGGTAAGCCACCTGCCAGTTATAGTTAGGTTCCCTGGTCCCGCCCCTTTTTGAGTTTTGGAGGGAACAGGAGCCTTTTTGAGTTCAGTTCTCACAGAGAAGCCTTTCGCACAGGACATAGAACAAAGTGGCTCCTGTAGAAAAGCTTCGTCTTTTACAGCTTGGCCGGGGTTATACAGCCCTACAGCTTGGCCGGGAGACATACAGCCACAGCTTGGCTGAGGGACTTCAGCCGGCCATCACAGCAACCTGAACTTCTTTTTCCCTGGAGGTCTACAAAGCTCTGTTGGGGCAAGGGTCGCTCGCAGAAGCCAGACGCAGTTGGTACCGGGTGCAGGGGCTCCACGTCAACAGAGGCAAGTACAGACTGCCCAGATTAGAAGTTAGGATTTCCCCTTTAGTTAATTACAGTTAAGAAGATAGTGCCTGTTCCCAGTGAACAAGATTGCAAGAGCCAATAGACTGTTAAGAAAGCTTGAAAGTACCTGTTTGTTTTCATCAATAAAGAACTTGTTGGATTTACTTTAAGCCTCTACAGAACTTTGTTTGGGGGAATCTAAGGGCCTTTAATCTGAGGCAGCCCCGGTGTCCCGTTGGGCACACGGAATTTATGTCCTGTCTACAGTTATGCGCACAGGCCCAGTGTGCGACAGCACAGGGCCACATTCAAAGTGCTAGTTCTTTTATGATGTGGCCCCAAGTTAAAAAACCTGCAGCTGTGTTGACTGATGGCAGAATAGAGCTATATTTTATTTTAAAAAAAGAAAAGAGTCACAAATGCTTCAAGTTTGTACAGGCTTTATCCATCTCAAGATATCTCTGGCAAGGAAAAGGTTACAATAAGATGACATAATATACAATAACTATCCTGTGTTATTTGAGAACACAGAAATGTTGGACCAATCTAACAACCACCATGTCAGACTACACAGAGAAGCCATTGAAATCCACAAGCATGTGGACAATTTCAACAGAAATGAGGAAACCATGAAAATGAACAAAATCTGGCTACCAGTATTTTAAAAAACCCTCTAAAATCAGGACAGTAAATAAAGAACAACACTCAGAAAACAGGGGAATTCCTGACAGGAAACAACCAGGGCCAGCTAACACCTCCCAACAAAGAATCCCCCCGGGCAAGAAGCAGCCAGGCTTTGAAGCTGCAAGGCTATTCAATGCTAATCAAGCTGGCCAATTGCAACATTCACACTTGTCTCAAACAGACAAGGGTTCTTTCTCCCACCCTGGACATTTCACAGTTATATAAACCCCACTTGTCTAGTTTCCAACAGACCTCTCAGCCTCTGAGAATGCCTACTGTAGATGTGGGTGAAATGTCAGAAGAGAATGCTTCTCTAACATGGCCATACAGCCCGAAAAACGCACAACAACCCAGTGATTAATGAAAGCCTTCAACAACACATTAAAGTGCAAAAAAGGGTCGTTAGTTAGCATTCCATTAGGAAGGACCTTTGGCAAAGAGAGGGCTGTCTTGCCCTTCCCAGTAGGGTCAGGCAAAACCAAACTGCTGAAGTCTTTCATAATGTGAGAGCTGTTCCTTATTTATATTTTTTGTTTGTGCAAACTACAGAACCATAGTGCTATTGTTCTGCTTTAACAGTCATAGTTACATCCTTGGATTTGCATAATAGGGAGGAAAATGTGGAATTCAGAGAACTCTAGTGCTTTCCTATTACTTCATCACACTAGAGAATGAATCCACTTTAAATCCGGTTTCTATGTCCTGCAGATTTCTGGGGTTTGTAGTTTAGTGAGGCTGTTAAAAGCTCCTCCCTAAACTACAAACCCCAGAATTATGTAGGATTTAAAGCAAACAGATTTAAAGTGGATGCGTCCGCTAGTGTGATGAGGTCCTCAGGATTCCATAGGATGGAACCATGGCAGGTAAAGCAAAATAATCACTCTGCTCTTTTTAATTCTGTGGCATCACAGCAAGATAGTATTTTAATTTCTTTCTTTGTAATGTTTTCAAAAAAGAGCTCCTGTTCTATACAGCTTTTAAATTCTGATATACTTCTGCATTATCACTTTTTCAGTTTTTATGAGTTTTTTTCAATATTTTGTATATCATTCTGATGTGTCTTGAACACTTTTGTGAATCAAAATAACCTGTTTCATAGAATCATAGAGTTGGAAGAGACCTCATGGGCCATCCAGTCCAACCCCCTGCCAAGAAGCAGGAAAATTGCATTCAAAGCATCCCCGACAGATGGCCATCCAGCCTCTGTTTAAAAGCTTCCAAAGAAGGAGCCTCTACCACACTCCGGGGCAGAGAGTTCCACTGCTGAACAGCTCTCACAGTCAGGAAGTTCTTCCTAATGTTCAGATGGAATCTCCTTTCTTGTAGTTTACTTTGCCGTGTCCTGTTACACAACATTGGGTTCACTCCCAAGTTAGTATACACAAGACTTTAGGCAGCAGAGTATGCTGGGATGTTAAACATATTTTTAGTATCATGGTTTACTTAATTGTTTAACTGCTTTTGCAATTGTTTAGCAGTGTTCTGTTGTATCTATATTACAAGATCTCTTGGGAGAAAAACAGACCATAAATCCAAATAGGCCTCCTCAGGAGTAAATCCCATTGACTTCAGTGGTTCATGTCCTGAGATAAATAGATACAGGAATGCAGTTTTATGATGACTGAGTTAGAGGGATTTGCTGAGTAAATTTGCCAAGGAGAACCCTATTAACGGTAATAACGAAAAGGACAGGAAGAAACATGTGACTTGGCTACTTTCCAAATATTCCTTTCCACACTACAGTCCTTGCCTTAAATAGATTTTCTTTGTAAAAGGAAACCTAGTATACATTCTTTCACTGCTTTTGTTTTTCAGATTTCCTGTCTCATTTCCTCTTTTATTGGCTGGTCTTTTCCTAAAGTATATATGTATATATTTTAATTTCTTTCTACCAAGTATGTGATTGAATAAAAAACATGTTGCCAGAAGCAAAGGATGATGCTAACTCATGTCATCTGCATCTTCGGAAAAGGAAGTCCTGACCTTAAAAGGCTTGGTTGAATAAGAGGGACTTTTCTTAAGGAGGAGTTAAGTTTTATGGGGACAGTTCATAAGTGAGAGTGCCGGCTTTGTTAAATATTAGTCTTGCAGGAGGCAGAGTTCAACACGGATGAAGATAACTCCTCGGGGGACTAACCAAGGTCCACGAGGAGAGAGAGAGTTCTGTGCAAATATCTGTTACAACCAAACCAGCCTTTGCCTCTTTGCTGCTTTATGTAATTGAACAGAACGCAATCCAGTGGAAAGCTCATTCACAAGAACAGCTGTTGAATATTTCAAGAAGAAGATACAAAGCAGAGAAATCACACTTTTGGTAAGTCAGTGCTTGACTCTCCTCCCTTAGGTTATATGTGTGTGTGTATGTACAATATACAGTAGAGTCTCGCATATCCAACCTTCGCTTATCCTCCCACCAGGAATAATGTCCAGGGTGGGAGAAAGAAAGAGCCCTTGTCTGTTTTGGTGCTAAATTCGTAAATACAATACTTACCACATAACGTTACTGTGCTTTGAACTGCTTTTGCTGTCAGTTTGTTGTAAAACGTGTTGTTTTGGTGCTTAATTTGTACAATCATAACACAATTTGACATTTAATAGGCTTTTCCTTAATCCCTTCTTATTATCCAACATTTTCGCTTATCCAACGTTCTGCCGGCCTGTTTATGTTGGATAAGCGAGAGTCTACTGTATATATAATATGTGTGTGTGTGTACAATAACAAGGGATGGATGTATTTCATGGGTTGCTGTGAGTTTCCCGGACTGTATGGCCATGTTCCAGAAGCATTCTCTCCTGATGTTTCAACCACATCTATGGCAGACATCCTCACGGCAACCCAGCAATTCTGGCTATGAAAGCCTTCAACAACACATTGGTGTTTTTCATGTTTTTTATGGACATTTTTACTTACAAGCTCAAGATCTAGCAAAGAAAATCAAATGCAGAAGAGGTTAGTTAGGATTTAATAACATGTGGTCTTCCCCACAAAAATCCACCCTAGGATATTCTAAACTGTTTTTAGTTTAGCAGAATAATTGGAAGAAGGTGGAAAATAACGTTATTGCTGCTGTATTAAAAAAACTAAATGTCAGAAGTCCTTGGTCATCTACTGTAAATCCACCAGAGAGCTAGTATGTTATGGTGTACAGTTCTTTTAAATTATGTGATTTTAATATTTATTCTAGGATAATTTTAATACTTTGTTTGAATGCTTAAATTTTGTTTATGTCCTGTGTTTAATGGTTTAAATAATTTAAAGTCAAAGTTATATGTAGTAATTAGTTATTACGATAGGAGCCCCCTGTGGCGCAATGGGTTAAACCCTTGTGCCGGCAGGACTGAAGACCGACAGGTCGGAGGTTCGAGTGTGGATGAGCTCCCTCTGTCAGCTCCAGTTCCCCATGTGGGGACATGAGAGAAGCCTCCCAGAAGGATGGTAAAACATAAAAAAACCATCCCGGCATCCCCTGGGCAACACCCTTGCAGACGGCCAATTATCTCACAACAGAAGCGACGTGCAGTTTCTCAGGTCGCTTCTGACATGAAAAAAAGTTATTATGATTTCTTTGTGTTACTGTATGTTGGTATTGTATTTTTGCCAGTATTATGTTGTAAGTTCCTCCAGGGGTGAGAAAGGCAGTATATAAATACAGTAAATAAATAAATACATAAATAAATAGTATACAACTGCTATACTACTAGTATAATACTATACTAATAGTATACTAATGCACCTGAGCCCCCGGTGGTACAGTGGGTTAGTCCGCTGAGCTGCTGAACTTGCTGACCAAAAGGTCACCAGTTCTAATCCAGGGAGCAGGTTGAGGTCCTGCTTCTGCCAACCTAGCAGTTTGAAAACATGCAAATGTGAGTAGATCAATAGATACCGCTCCTGCGGGAAGGTAACAGCGCTTCATGCAGTCATGCTGGCCACATGACCTTGGAGGTATTTATGGACAACGCTGGCTCTTCAGTTTAGAAATGGAGATGAGCACTAATCCTCAGAGTCAGACACAACTGGACTTAATGTCAGGGGAAAGCCTTTACCTTTACAACTGCTATATACTTTTTTAAAACCTCATTTGGGGGGTACAAACCAGACAAAACAGGACTCAAACCATATGTTGTTTTTCAAGTGAACAACAACATTTGAATTTGGATCCAGAATCATAGTATTTTAATTCTACAAAACCATTTCATGGAGAGATCCATCGATTGTATTAATGCACATTAAAATCTGCTTGACACTGACAAAGGAAAGAAATAACTCAACAATATTTTTTAAAAACATTCTATTTTCCTCTTTTTTTGTTGTGATGATGGGTAGGAGTGTCTGTTTAAAGTAATGCTTTAAAAAAAACTAAAAGAACTATTATTTGGTTGTTCTATATATTAAATGGATAAAATAGTTTGTTTATATTTTGTATGATTCACTGAAGTTCCATGTTGCTTTAAATCCCAGCGTTGGTCTATATAATATGATTTCCTCAGATAATTCAATTTCTTTCTTAGGCAGAAATGGCATCTGAAAAAGAAATGAGCGTACATGTCAATGGAAAAATTGAAGAGATGGAGACAGAAGACAATGTATCTGGCTCTGAAAGCAAAAGGTAGATATGGTGAATTTTCCGTCAATTATCTCATCAATATTACCTTCTCCCCTGCCCTGTTTTGCTTTGGAAATGTATTACTTTTCAAATCTAATGAATATACTACAAATCTATTTCCTGGATTATAAGAACAACAGCCTTGTCCTTTTGCTCCATTTTGTATGTCATTTGTAAAAGAAGGACATGCTAGATTATTGATGCATCTACACTGTTGAATTAATGCAACTTGACACCACTTTAACGGCCATGGCACAATGCTGTGGAATCCTGAGAATTGTAGTTTAGGTTGCTGTGAGTTTTTCGAGCTGTATGGACATGTTCCAGAAGCATTCTCTCCTGATGTTTCTCCCACATCTATGGCAGACATCCTCAGAGGTTGTGAGGTCTGTTGGAAACTAAGCAAGGGAGGTTTATATATGAAAGGCACTGCAGACTAACTCAGCCAGAAAAGTCAGCCATACCAGAGCACTTGATGAACCAACCTGGGCACAGCATATTATTTGAGAACACAGAAATGCTGGATCACTCTCACAACCACCATGTCAGACTATACAGAGAAGCCATTTAAATCCACAAGCATGTGGACAATTTCAACAGAAAGAAGGAAACCACGAAAATGAACAAAATCTGGCTACCAGTATTTAAAAAACTCTAAAATTAGGATAGTAAATAAAGAACAACACTCTGAAAACAGGGGAATTCCAAACATGAAACAATCAGGGCCTGCTAACATCTCCCAACAAAGGATTCCCCCTGGCAGGAATCAGCCAGGCCTTGAAGTTGCAAGGCTTTGTAATGCTAATCAAGGTGATTAATTGCAACATTCACACTTTCCTCCAACAAACAAGTTATTTCTCCCATCCTGGACCTTCCACAGAAAATATATAAACCTCCCTTGCTATGTTTCCAACAGACCTCACAACCTCTAAGAATGCCTGCCATAGATGTGGGCAAAATGTCAGGAGAGAATGTTTCTGGAACATGGCCATTCTGCCTGGAAAACTTACAGCAACCCAGTGATTCCAGCCATGATAACAAATTGTAGTGTGGTGAGGCACCAGGCTGAAAACATTACAAAACTACAATTCCCACAGTGCCTTGGAATGGGTCCTTTTGTAGCTGAGGAGTGGGGTAAAAATTCTCTAAATTATAATAAAATAATACATTGTATTCATTCAACTGTGCAGATGCACCCTATATTGTTTTTTTTAGTAAATGTCCATGCTTAATTTGTCACTGTGATGGAGTAATGGTCATATCCTTCATTTCTTTTAGTTTGTTATTTATTTCTTGAAATTGTTATATATTTCTTGATATACATCTCTTTGTAAAGCATTTGCACACGTTGGAAAGAAAATATCATAAAAACAGTTTGCAGATTGCATTGTTATGGGACCCTCTAACAAGAGTCCCAATTAGGGTGTTTTACTTGGAGGCTGAAGATGAGACATGGAGGATCACCCAAAATCCAAAATCAAAATGACCTAATCACACTAGAGAATGAATCCACTTTAAATCCGGTTGCGGCCTCCTGCAGAATTCTGGGGTTTGTAGTCTAGAGATGAGCCTTTAACAGCCTCACTAGACTACAAAGCCCAGAATTCTGCAAGAGGCCACAACCGGATTTAAAATGGTTTCATTCTCTAGTGTGATGAAGTAGTATATGTGCATGTATGCGTGTGTAGCCTTAACCACAAACCTTTCAGATTTTTTTTACAAAGCCTTTTTGGCCAATCAAATTCTTAAGAGTCAGTGTCAGCCTGATGGGAAAATTTTTGCATTGTAGAATCACCCTTATTTTCAGTACGCAAGCAACTAAATCACCCGCAGGTTTCCTGTTAAGCGTGGTTTCTGGTTTTCAATGTGACTGATTTAATGGGTCAAGTGCAGTTCTGGCAAACTCCTTGCATTCCCTGTTCACCTTCTCACAGCATGAAACGTTGCAACCTGATTAGGTTTAAGCTTTCCATTTCCACGGATCACATCATGATGTTCCCAACCGCTTTTTAATAAGCATGTGGGATGGTAACAAAATATAGAAGATTCTGGGTATTCGCCCTGCTTTCTTGTTTGTTTCAGGTAGCTCAGAGCAGTTTGTGAGAAGAGGAAGTTGCCTCATTTCATTTTGTTATTTCCAACTTTATTATTGTTTACTTTGTGGGTTTTTTTGTTGTTTTTTTTGGTCAGGATCAATTTGAGAAACTGCAAGTCGCTTCTAGTGTGAGAGAATTGGCTGTCTGCAAAGACGTTGCCCAGGGGACACCCGGATGTTTTGATGTTTTACCATCCTTGTGGGAGGCTTCTCTCATATTCCCATATGGGGAGCTGGAGCTGACAGAGGGAGCTCAACCTGCTCTCCTTGGATTTGAACCACTGACCTGTCACTCAGCAATCCTGCTGGCACAAGGTTTTAACCCATTGCGCCACTGGGGACTCCTCTGTATTAAGAGGCAGAAACTGAACATTTTTCATTCTCTGCCCCCCCCCCCCCCAAATTATTCCCTCCTTTCTAAGTGCTAGGCTGCACCCATTGGATGCCTACGCGACAGGCATCTGCTAAAAGGCCAAATCTTGTTATGAACATGGTATTCCATCTCTATTATGACAAACCTGAAATAACATAGGGGTTTTAGTTGGAATGAGCAGCAGGCACTTTAGCCAAGCGTACCATAAAATGGGAAGGGTATTTTGATTGTTTAACATTTACTAGAATACATTTTTCTATTTATTTCACTGTTATTAGAATCCATTATTAGACTAAAGGGGGATATTTAAAGTCAGCATAAAATTGATTTAAACTGTGCTACTCTCATTTCTGATGATTACAAAAGGTTTGATTTTGTTGGCTTGTGATATAGGTTACGTTAGGGCAGTGTTTCTCAACCTGGGGATCGGGACCCCTGGGGGGGTTATGAGGGGGTGTCAGAGGGGTCGCCAAAGACTATCAGAAAACACAGTATTTTCTGTTGGCCATGGGGGTCCTGTGTGGGAACTTTGGTCCAATTCTATCATTGACAGGGTTCAGAATGCTCTTTGATTATAGGCAAACAATAAATCCCAGCAACTACAACTCCCAAATGTCAAGGTCTATTTTCCCCAAACTCCACCAGTGTTCACATTGGGGCATATTGAGTATTCGTGCGAAGTTTGGTTCCAGCTCCATCATTGTTAGAATCCACAGTGCTCTCTGGATGTACGTGAACTACAACTCCAAAACTCAAGGTCAATGTCCACCAAACCCAGTATTTTCTGTTGGTCATGGGAGTTCTGTGTGCCAAGTTTGGTTCAATTCCATCATTGGTGGAGTTCAAAATGCTCTTTGATTGTAAGTGAACTATAAATCCCAGCAACTATAACTCCCAAATGACAAAAATCAATCTCCCCCACAACCCCTCCAATATTCAAATTTGGGAGTATCAGGTATTTGTGCCAAGTTTGGTCTAATGAATGAAAACACATCCTGCTCATCAGATATTTACATTACAATTCATAAGAATAGCAAAATTACAGTTATGAAGTAGCAACATAAGCAATGTTATGGTTGGGGGTCACCACAACATGAGGAACTGTATTAAGGGGTCGTGGCATTAGAAAGGTTGAGAACCACTGCGTTAGGGGAATGTGGAAGGTTTCTAAATTTGCTTTTGAAATTCTTATTACAATCTGTTCATGGTGTTGATTTAAGTAATATCATATATAGTGGGAGAGAGAAAATTGAAAGTCTTTAGAAATATTTGCAAAATTAACCAGTTTCCATTGCATGCTTTCAGTAAAGTGTGTTTCTGCTTGTTTATTTGTTGACATCATTTCTATCTGTTTTGAAGTCTCAAAAATCTCATTTTTATTTAACAGTAAAAAAAAGAAAAAGAAAGAAAAGCCTAAAATGGTCAGTCCTCTTACAGTGGTGAGTTTTGTTCCATGTGTGTTTGGAAATTTAATCAGTTACATTTCCTCCCAGCGCAGGCATAATGTTGATGCTCTTTTAATGATGGTGTAAATATTAGCTGCACATTTACAGCTCTCTAGTTTCAACATGAGGTCATAGTCTCATTACCAGGCAGGCGCCCTTGGGATGGGATGGGAGGTGGGTAAGGAAGCACGAGTAAGAAAATAATAGATAAAATAGATAAAATAATGTATAAATATTAAAATGAATATGGCGTCCCTACTTCACGGATTTTCACTTATCACAGGTGGTCCTGGAACGGAACCCCCATGATAAGTGAGAGAACACTATTGTTGTTGTTGTTGTTGTTGTTGTAAGACTGATGTAGCCCTCAATGGAAATATGTTCAACACCTCTGCTTTAGGACAAATAAGCAGGCACTGAGGGTAAGAAGAGGAAGAACAACTAGCAAGGAAGGGGAAAAAAGCTGTCCTCTCAGAAGCAGCTGCCATATTCTGCCTAGTATTTACTGCCTAGCCTTCCTATTGATATCAAACTAATCAGATAATCTACAGTGCACAATGTGTAATTACATTTGTCTCATTGTAAGGCACAAGATAATCTGGCAGCTGTTTGTCTATTTAGAGCAGGGATCCTCAAACTAAGGCCTGGAGACCGGATACGGCCCTCCAAGGTCATTTACCCGGCCCTCGCTCAGGGTCAACCTAAGTCTGAAATGACTTGAAAGCACACAACAACAACAATCCTATTTCATCAGCCAAAAGCAAGCCGACACTTCCCATTGAAATACTAATAGTTTTATATTTGTTAAAATTGTTCTTCAATTTAATTATTGTATTGTTTTTAAGTGTCCTTTGCACTACAAATTAGATATGTGCAGCGTGCATAGGAATTCATGTTTTTTTCAAATTATAATCCGGCCCTCCAACAGTTTGAAGGACTGTGACCTGGCCCTCTGTTTAGAACGTCTGAGGACCCCTGATTTAGAGTATATACCTCCCTTTCTTTAGTCGCAAAGGCTCTCAGAGTGGCTGACAAATTATTAATTTGACATTTCCATGCCCTCAGGTTTACAATCTAAGACATGGTACATAAGGCAATGACAGTTGGAAGGGGATTAAGTCTAGCAGATCCTGATGGTTCTTCTCTCCCTCTGAAGCCACAGCAGGAACAGCTATTATATTTTCTGATAATTATATTTTCTGATATTTTAAAACTTGGAGCTATGCTCTCACTAGTTTGTTGCCCCAAATAATAATGTCAGTAGTTATTTCCTTTTGGATTAAACAAGGCATTATGTATAGTGTAGGCAGTCCCTGAGTTACAAACATCTGACTTATAAACAACTCATACTTAAGAATGAGGGTGAACCAACAGGAAGTCAGAGAAATCTACCCCTTGGAAGGGAAATTCACTCGGAATAATTATTATCATGGGGAAAGCTTTATCATTGAAGCTTTATCACCAATCCTTGCTTCCACAACAAGACCTTTTTTTTCAAAATCCAAAATCCAAGTGCTGTGAAATTTTCTGAACATGGGCACAGGCAGCAAAACAAACACCAGAGCGCTGCTAACTCTTCCCTGTGCTATCCAAAGCCCCCTCCCAAATAATAATAATAATAATAATAATAATAACAACAACAACAATACTTTATTTATACTCAAACCCATGGAGCCTCCAGTGGTGCAATGGGTTAAACTCTTGTGCCAGCAGGTCAGCGGTGCAAATATGGTAAGAGCGGGTTGAGCCCCCTCTGTCAGCTCCAGCCCCCCATGCAGGGACATGAGAGAAGTCTCCCACAAGGATGATAAAACATCAAACATCTGGACGTCCCCTGGGCAACGTCCTTGCAGACGGCCAATTCCGTCACACAAGAAACGACTTGCAGTTTCTCAAGTCTTTGCTGACACGAACCCCCCCCTCCCCGCCCGCTCCATCTCCCAACAAGGGACTCGAAGCGGCTTACAGTCATAAAAATATAGTAGATATCATCAAACAAAATAAATAACAAGTCAAATTTAAAACAATCACAAAATTAACACAAAATTAATGCATCAATAGGCAATTATTATATAAAACAATTTGAACAACATTTACATCTGTGTGTGTATGTATATTTGGCTGGAGTTATACTTAAAAATGCACCTTTTCTGACTTACATACAAACTCAACTTAAGAACAAACCTACAAACCCTGTCTTGTTCATAACGTGAGGAATGCCAATATAATGGTTGCATGACAAATCCATGAATTTCACAGGGTTTTCTTCAGCAAGGAATACCCAGCAGTTGTTTTGCCAGTTCTTTCCTTCGAAATATAGGCCACAGCACCTTGTATTCCATGGCACTCTTCCATCCAAATACTAACCAGGCCATTTCCTGCTTAGCTTCCAAGATTTGGTGCCCTGGGGGTGTTTAGCTTTATTCCCATAGGTATAGACCTTCTCGTAAGAAATTTGCTTAGACAGGAACTGATGCCTTAAGGCTATTTATGTACCGTAATACCTTGCTGAATTTAATACATGAAAGACAATGAGATAAAGTGGGGAAATACATAGTGCATAACCCAAAGATAAGTGTTTGGTGTGTGATTAATACATTTAAATACAGCATAGTGGAAATAAGTCTTTTGGGATTTCTGATTTTCAGTTTCGTTACGCTGACTGGGCCGACAGAGCATTAATGTTAATGGGCACCCTCTTGGCAGCCGTGCATGGATCTGCCCTTCCACTGATGATGATTGTTTTTGGAGATATGACAGACAGCTTTGTGACTTCAGGAAGTCTTCCCACAGGTGAGATTTACCTTTTCCTAACCAAATAAATAAGCTAAAATGCAGAGCTATATAAATAAAAATGTAATGTCCGTTTGTGGGATTAACAAAACTCAAAAACCGCTGGATGAATTGACACCAAATTTGGGCACTACACTCTTAACAGACCAATGAGTGACCATCACTCATAACCCCCCCTCCCCCAAAGGAGCAGAAAGAGTTAAAAAAAACCCAAAAAGCTAAATGACAATACAGATGCAGATGCCTGGCTTACAAACCGTGGAGCTCTTGCTCTGCAGAGGGCTCCACCTCTCTCATGTGCTGCTTTCCCAAGCCCAACTCTTTTCTGGCCTCTGTCTAGAGGGAAGGAATGAAGGAGGGAAAGGGGGAAGGAAGGAAGGAAGGAAGGAAGGAAGGAAGGAAGGAAGGAAGGAAGGAGGGAAAGAGGGAATGAAGGAAGGAGGGAAAGAAAAAGGGAATGAAGGAAAAAAGCAGAGAAGGAAGGAAGAAGAGAAAGAGGGAGGGAAAGAAAAAAAGGGGTATGCAGGCAGGAGGTAGAGAAGGAAGGGAAGGGAAATCAAAAAGAGAAGGAAGGGAAAGAGAGGGGGAAGGAAGGAAGGAGAGAAGGAAAGAAAAAAGAGAAGGGAGGGAAAGAGGAGGAAGGAAGGAAGGAGAGAATGGAGAAAAAAAAAGGGATAAGCAGAAAAGACGTAGAGAAGGAAGAGGGAGGGAAGGAAACTAAAAAAAGAAGGAAGAAAGGGGAAGGAAGGAGGAGAGAAAAGAAGGGAGGGAAGGAACGAGAGAAGGAAGGATGGAACCAAAGAGCAAAGGAAGGAAGGAAATAAGAAGGTAGAGAAGGAAAAAAGAAGGGAACAAGAAGGGAAAGAAAAAGAGGGGCAGGAAGGAAAGAGGGAGGGAAGGAAGGAGAGAAAGAAAGGAGAGAAAGAGAGAGGGAAGGTTGGCCACCGTAATGTGTGGCGGATACAGCTCTATTAACTATAGTAACTGAATTGTTTCTGATCCTGTTAATTTGCTCTGTTTCCATGATATTTCCTATGCCATTATACATTGTTATCCACCTTACTAAACCACCTTATCCTTTAACCAGCTCACGTAGTGGCCTTCTTTCCACCCTCCAAAATTAGTCTGCTGTTATTGTTGTTGCTAGCTATTATTGTTATGTTGTTTTATGCTGTCTTAATTGTTATTGCTTTGTTTTTAATTGTATTCTGCCTTGGGCTTGGGCCCCATGTAAGACGCCCTGAGTCCCTTCGGGGAGATGGAGGCGAGGTAGAAAAATAAAGTTGTTGTTGTTATCCTCCTCCTCCTCCTCCTCCTCCTCCTTCTTCTGCTAGTTATTACAATAATTTTACCAAGGCCAATTTATCAGCTTTTGTGCAATTTTTAGAACTCTTTATTAGGAACCAAAACAAAGGGAGACAGAAAAGAGTGGTTGATGGGTAGCAGAGCAGAAGGAAGGGACCCATTTGACTGTGTTTCTTTAAATGTTATTTTTGGAGGAAATTTTTAATTGAGAGAAGCCACTTCAGTAGCCAAATACAGAGAAGGTCACATAAGACATCTTTCTTCCGATATTGGGCCAAGACAGTTTAAATCTTATATATGTAATTTCTTTATGCTTTGGGTAAACAATATTTCTTGCTGTAGTGTTGTCAGTGTTAATGTAGAGATTGTCTGGTTTGCCTACTCTGGAAAATTCAACATATAATTGTCCTTCTTTAGGGGTCCCTTTCAAATCTATGATACTACATCTCTCATATACTTGTGTGTGTGTGAATGGCTAGATGGCCCTTTGTCAGGAGGGCTTTGGTTATGCTTTCTTTCCCTGGTGAAGGGAGTTGAGCTAGATGGCCTTAAGGCAGCATTTCTCAACTTGGGGGTCACGAGAGGGTGTCAGAAGGGTTGCCAAAGACAACCAGAAAACACAGTATTTTCTGTTGGTCATGGGGGTACTGTGTGGGATGTTTGGCCCAATTCAATCATTGATGGGGATCAGAATGCTCTTTGATTGTAGGTGAACGATAAATCCCAGTAACTACAACTCCCAAATGTCAAGGTCTATTTCCCCCAAACTTCATCTGTGTTCATTTTTGGGCATATGGGGTATTTGCGCCATGTTTGGTCTAGATCCTTTATTGCTTGAGTCCATAGTCTCTCTGGTATGTAGGTGAACTACAACTCCAAAACTCAAGGTCAATGCCCACCAAACCCTTCTAGTGTTTTCTGTTGGTCATGGGAGTTCCATGTGCCAAGTTTGGCTCAATTCCATCGTTGGTGGAGTTCAGAATGCTCTTTGATTGTAGGTGAACTAGAAATCCCAGCAACTACAGCTCCCAAATAACAAAATAATTTTTTTGAGTGATTGTCACTCCTTGGGTTAGTAGGTGTCTTGTGGCCAAATTTGGCGGCAATTCATCCAGTGTATTTTGATTTATGATGTCACTCAAAATGAACAGAGCATTTATATATATATATATAGATTGCCTTCAGCTGTTATTACAGTAATCTTTTTTTCTTTTTAGTAAATTTAACAGATGAAATGGAATCCCTACTAAAGAAGGAGATGGGTGATATGTTACAGAAAAATATGACAAGGTAACTTTATGTTTTTTCTCCCAAATCTTGCTACCGCATTTCTCCGAAAATAAGACATACCCATAAAATAAGCTGTAGCAGGATTTCTAAGCATTTACACAATATAAGCCATATCCCGAAAATAAAACATAGTGATAGGCATGGCTATGCAGCATATGAGCATGGAGCGGTAAAGAAGACGACCAGCCCTTCATTAAATTTGAACTTGGAATTCCCAACCAAGGCTTTGAGGCGTGTGGCTTCGTAGAAGCCTCTGCCTGGGGTGCCTCCCCCCCCCATCTGATTTTACAATGCTTTACGATTTTTTTGCACAATAATATATGCACAGTAATGATTTTTCTCTCTCTTCAAGGTCCCTTGTGTCCTCAGAACAAAATATAGCTAGCTAATTTAACACAGTGTTTCTATATATATAGTTTAGACTTTGGTCTGTTGAAAACCCAACCCATGCTTATGTATGAAAGGTCAATAGACATCCTGAAAGAAAAACATGTCCAAGCCTGCCTGTCTCTGAAATAAATGGGCCCCTCTACACTGCCATATAAAATCCAGATTATTTGCTTTGAAATGGATTATATAGCAATGCAGACTCTTATAATCCAATCCAAAGCAGATAATGTGGATTATCTGCTTTGATAATCTGGATTATATGGCAGTGTAGAAGGGGCCAGTGTCTCATTGGAAATGCTATGTGTTCTGTTTCCTGCAGTAAATCCCCTGCTCCAAAAAAACCTGATTCATGAGCATCTTCTCTCCTTTCAAGTATTGAAAAATTACAGTATTCCAGTTTGTATATTTGCCAGTTCTTTCTATTCTGCAAGGTCTCATACCCTCCAACTGTCTCTGGCCTCTTTCACACAGCTGTATGAAATCCACATTGAACTGGATTATATGGCAGTGTGGACTTAGATAATCCAGTTCAAAGCAGATATTGTGGATTTTCTGCCTGGATATTCTGCGTTATATGGCTGTGTGGAAGGGGCCTCTGTTTGGGATGGACTGTCCTGATTAATTTTCTGCTATCCCACTTTTTCAGCTGCCTTTAAAACATCCCAGTTTTCCCACCTCCTTCTACTTTCCCCCTTGCAGGAGGGGTAGCCCAAGGTTGGGCTAGGCTTGCAAGAAATAGACAAAACCATAAATAAGCCTATAACAAGAATGCATCTGCTCAGCTTCAAAGGGATCTTCTGTTTAGTTACCCAACTTCACTATTTAAGCTGGCTTCTTTATTTGGCCTTCACATTTGTAGAAGGGTTTGTTCCAGGCTGTTTCCATGGTCTTTCTGGACCCCATATGTCTTGGATCTCCTTTCCAGTGAATCCTCTTTAATTGCCACGCCTGAATGCTGTGGAATCCTTAGAGTTGTAGTTTGGTGAGGCACCAACACTCTTTGACACAGAAGTATATAAAGATTTTGTAAAACTACAGCTCCCAGAATTCCATAGCGTTGAGCCATGGCAGTTCAAGTGGTGTTGACCTACATCAATTCTACAGTGTGTAGATGCACCCCAAGTCTTTTATTTACCACTGTTCATTTTCTCAGAATTCATGTCTAAAAATACACTTTCAACTTCCTCCTCTTGTACAACTTCAACATTCCAGCTGCCTCTCACAGCTATTTGGTAGTCTTGTGCATAGAATCACTATCTGTTTCTGTTTGTTGCATTTATAGGGTCCAGTTTTAGTTTTCGAGCACCTCTCTCAAAAACGGACACCTTTCCGAATGAGCTTTTTCATCCCATTAGTAGCAATGAACGGGCTTCCCACACTCCCGTGGGTGCTTTCTGGGCATGCATACCACACACACACACTCGTTCCAAGGAAAGTGTGTGTGTGTCTTGCAAACCCAAAGCACCAGGGCCTGCAGTTGAGTGCCGAGCGCCTCTTACTCAGTGCTCGGTGTAGGCGCGGGCGCTTTGGGCCTGCAAGCCACACATGCGCTCTCCTTGGAAAGAGACAGTGTGTATGGCTTCCAGGCCCAAAGCGCCTGTGCTGCCAGGGCTTGCAGCTGAGCACTGAAAATCAGGCAACCAAACGGTTACCGTTCCCACTTTCCTTTTGTTTCACTGATATTTCCATAGCAGAGGGTGTGTACCATTTCATGCCATCTGAATGAAACAGATGATATGAAAACATGAATTAGACAGCTGAAATGGTTACAGGGCCTATGAATACTATTTGGATTATTGTCGGGCTGTTGTTGTTTTTGACTCCTTGCTGGACTCTACTGCAGGGGCTTTAAGTGAGGCCCACATCTAGTTCTCCTTCCCTCTGGTGAGACCTACACTTCCATAAACCCTTAGTTCTTTTATGCCTGTTACCAATGTAGCTGAGTTAAAATAATTCTTAACTATTAACCTGACCTTAGTGGCGCCTTCATTTTTCTTTTCACCCCCCTTTTTTGTTTTCTCATTGTGTTTTACACACACACCACACCTTTAACACCCAGGAGCTTGTGGCTTTTAAGGTTCTCATCTTGTAGCCCTCCAGATGTTTGATTGTGAGTTTCCACTCCTCAGATACCTGACTCTGAACACATCGGCTGGAGCTTGTTAAAATTGAAGTCCAAAACCAAGTTTGCCCCCACTTCAAAGTAACACCCTTTCAAATATTTAAACATGGCTATCATGTCTCTTGTTAGCTGTCTCTTCTGCTAGCTAAACATAACCAGCTCCCTAAACCACTTCCTTATAGCGCTGGGTTCGTGACTTTACCCTGAGAAATCATTTGCTGTACATGTTGTTGAACACAATTCTGTCAAATATACAGTCACTTCTTCCTGAGACTAATACATATTTCCGATGGTACAAGCAGCCAAAGAAGCATTGCTTGAATTTGCCTCTACAATGTTGTGCTTCCAGATATGCATACTATTATTCAGGAATTGGTGCTGGAGTTCTTGTTGCTGCCTACATAGAGATTGCATGCTGGACGCTTGCAGCCGGACGCCAGGTCCGGCGTATTAGGCTGCGTTTTTTCCATGCTGTCCTCCGGCAAGAAATTGGATGGTTTGATGTCAACGATGTTGGGGAGCTAAATACTCGACTTATAGAGTAAGTATGTGCTGCACATGCATTTTCTTCAATAGCGAATAAAGGCAATATTCTGTATATAAGTTTTGAATAGCATAGGGAAGGGTTAATACCCATGTGGTGTTTGTTTTGCTGTCCATACCTGTTCTGAAGATTTTGCCTCACTTTTCTGTTCCTGTGACAATTGAAAAATTTGGCTTGTTGTGGAAACAAGGATTGATGAGAAAGATTCAATGGAGACACTTTTTCCACATGGTAACTCTTCCAGGAGCAAATTTCCCTTCCAAGGGATAGATTTCTCTCACTTACTGTTGTCTCACCCCCATTGTTAACTTGGAGTCATTTGTAAGTAGGGGGGTATTTTCTGTTGGTCATGAGGTTCTGTGTGGGAAGTTTGGCCCAATTTTATCATTGGTGGGGTTCAGAATGCTTTTTGATTGTAAGTGAACTATAAATCCCAGCAACTACAACGCTCAAATGTCAAGTTCTATTTCCCCCTAACTCCACCGGTGTCCACATTTGGACATATTGAGTAGTCGTGCCAAGTTTGGTCCAGATCTATCATTGTTTCAGTCTGCAGTGCTCTCTGGATGTAGGTGAACTACAACTCCCAAACTCAAGGTCAATGCTCACCAAACCCTTCCAGTATTTTCTGTTGGTCATGGAAGTTCTGTGTGCCAAGTTTGGTTTGATTCCATTGTTGGTAGAGTTCAGAATGCTGTTTGATTGTAGGTGAACTATAAATCCGAGCAACTACAACTCCCAAATGACAAAATCAATCCCCCCCCCCCCAACTCCACCAGTATTGAAATTTGGGCGTGTTGGGTATTTGTGCCAAATGTGGTCCGGTGAATGAAAATATCAGATATTTACATTATGATTCAAAACAGTAGCAAAATGACAGTTAGGAAGTAGCAACTAAAATAATTTTATGGTTGGGGGTCACCACAATATGAGGAACTGTATTAAGGGGTCTCAGCATTAGGAAGGTTGAGAACCGCTGCGCTAGATTAAGAAGTAAACCCACTTGTGTATTGGAACTGTTGAATCATTGGACATTCAAAGAAAATTCTCAATCCATCTTCCACTCTTCTTTAAATTAAGAGAAGTAGTGAAGCTGCTGCCCTGAATAAAGACTGGGTCGGCAAAAGAAGCCTTTCTTTTTATTTCCTTTGTTTCGTTCTCCATTCCATGTCAAGACATCATACAGATACCAGGATTGCAAGTTACATTAACTACCTTATGTATCTGCATTGGGAGAGAAGTGGGGGGGGGGGGGACACAAAATAAATTATGTTCATCTCCATCTCTCACACTTTCTAACATAGCCTCTCCTGAAGAGCATTCAAAATTTCACAAGTCTGCACAGATTTTGTGCTTTTTTTTGCCCTACAATCCCACTATGGTAATATAGATCTGAATGGATATGGAGTGTGAGAACAAAGTCAATATCTCCTTGTTTGAATGAAAGCAGGCCATTGTGTTGGGGGAGGAAGCTATGACCCTTCATACATTATGGACAGCAATTCCCAGTAGCCTATGCCAGCATAGCCATTGGTGAGAATTGCTGGAAGTTGTAGCCTGAAGGGTTGTGTTACTTTCACCTTTGTTATATCATCTTTTGTGGTATCTATAAAGTGTGTGTTCAAAATATATCAAGATAGTGTAAATAGAGTGTCTTGCAAAAATAGATTAGGAGTGCCACTCTGATATTTTAACTTAACCAATTTGTCTTCAATTATTTCCAGTGATGTCTCCAAGATCAATGAAGGAATTGGTGATAAGATTGCAATGTTAATCCAAGGAATATCTTCATTTATAGCAGCAGTTGTAATTGGATTTGTTAAAGGATGGGAACTGACTCTTGTGATACTTGCCATCAGTCCCGTTTTGGGACTGTCAGCTGCAATCTGGGCAAAGGTAGGTGTAGAAATGTGCAAGTATGCTACAATGCTGTAGATTCTGCTGAAGTGACCTTGGATAGCTCCTGGTTTATTGTAGGCATATCTAATTTGTTGGATCCAGACTTAGCCTTATTTAATAGAGTCATGGTTAAGTCCCGCTAAATAAGTCATTATTCAGACCCAATAATATTGATGGTTTAAGTGTGAATAAGGACTTTACCACACTAGTCCATTACCTCATCGCAACCACATTAAGTAAATGGAAACGTAAGAGGAATATCCAGAAAGTAAGGTTACAATATTTTTAATACAAAGAATGAATATATTTTAATAAAATTTACATGGATTGTAGCATAGGCATTACATTATTTTTCCACATAATTACCATTCAGTTCAATAGATGTTGTCATCCGTGCAATGAGTATTTTGATGCCTATGTCTCCCGCCGCCGGTTTGTCACTTTGATTTTTATCTCAGCGTTATCGGAGAAGTGTTTTCCACCCAGGTGTTCCTTCAATTTAGTGAACAGATGGTAGTCACTGGGTGCAAAATGGGGGCTGTGAGAAGGGTGGCTTAAAACATCCCAACCAAATTAAGTCAATAACTCTTGTGTTGGATGAGCGGTGGCCGGATGCACATTGTCATAAAGGAGACAGACTTCCGCCGTCAGCATCCCATGACATTTGTTTTGGATGGCTCTGTGAAGTTTCTTCATGGTCTCACAATATCTTGCAGCATTGATTGTTTCACCTCTTTCCAAAAAATCAATGAGCAGAACCCCTTTTCTGTCCCAAAACTCTGACACCACAATTTTTCTCACGAGAAATGGAACCTTCACCACAAGGCCAGTCGATAAGCTACTGACGACTGGCACTGCTCGTTCACTTCCACTGGCTTCCCGCTACACGGCAGTGATACCAACTTCCCCCTTGAAAATTCCTCATGGGAGCTACGTGCCTTGTAACCTTACTTTCTTGATAACACTCGTACTATTATTGGAATGATTACTTTCACACCTTGATACAGTTCCTCCTGCTGGCACTTTGTTCATGCATTCCGTCTTCTGCACTGCCCCATTTCCAACCCATGTTTGCCCTACCAATGCATGAGTTCTTTAAAAATACTTCTCCCTCCTACACATAACTGTGTAGGAATGCAGTTGTGGCATTGCCATGAGACCTTCTTCCACTTTGCAATATTGGGACTGCAGAGGAACAATATTATCACACAAGAAAAAATAACAAATGAATAGCAATATGGAATTTATTGACTGTTTTTTCTCATCAATGAAGAGACATTACAATCATAGTTCAAGCAGTGTCATGCAGTAAACTCCACCCAAAGGCATTCTTAATCTGCTGTAATTGCACTTTATCAGCCTTGTGTGATAAGCACAGTTCAAGCACAGGGCAACTATGGAAGAGATGTCATGCAGTAAGATTCCACCCAAAGGCATTCTTAATCTGCTGTAATTGCCCTATATCAGCCTTGTGTGATAAAGTCCTAAATATGGACTCATCCCTAGGAATGCTTTTGAGAGTCAAGTGAAGTTTTCTGAATGGTGGCAAGTTTGAAGTATTGGATATGGTCCATGAGAAGCTTTCCCCCTAAGCCAGTGGTTCTCAACCTGGGGTCCCCAGATGTTTTTGGCCTACAACTCCCAGAAACCCCAGCCAGTTTACCAGGTGTTAGGATTTCTGGGAGTTGAAGGCCAAAACATCTGGGGACCCACAGGTTGAGAACTACTGCCCTAAGCCAATGCCTTCCAGGTATATAGTGTTACAGTTCCTGCTCTATAATGGGCATATTGCATGAAGACATGTGAAATCATAATCCCCATTAATCTAGAAGAACAAAGTTATTGGGGAAGACAGCCATGTTCTTTTTTTGCTGGCCTGTAGTTCATTTTACTCTTCTTAATAGTTTTATTTTTGTCAACTGCTCTACGATTTCTGTTCATAGACATAGCAAGATGCTTGCCTTCTGGCAGGAGATTTTCTTTTGGGATGGACAGTTCAAGTGGGTTTGGGGATTCATTTATTTGCCCTTGGGACTTCCTGGAGGGTAATGAACTACAAAAAAAGTCCCAGATGTGAAAGTCACAAAAAAGTGGAGGAAACTCTAGCTCATTTTTTAAAAAATAGAAAATGTGTAGTGCTAAATCATGCAACCTATTTAAAAGGTGACTTGATTAGAGATTTACAAAAGCGCTAAATTATCCTGAGTAGTGGAATTGATCAAAGCCAGTCGATGCTGCCTGGGCCGTAAATATTGAGTGTTCTGAAATGGCAACATATTGTTTGTTGCTTTTTTGTGTGGTTGTCGTATTATATGAAAAAGGGCAGAAAGTGTTTATTGTCTCAGATGGTCCAAACAACCAGGTTAAAACTAGAGTTCTGTGTAACTTCTCTTTGGATTCAGAGTTGGGAAGGGGAGGGCTCCTTTTGCAGTTTTGTCTCCAGCATCCAAATGTCTCCTGACAGACTTGCGACTGACCCCATTTTTTCTCAAACAGGTCATTACTGCTTTCACCAACAAAGAGCTTGCTGCGTATGCAAAGGCTGGATCCGTCGCTGAGGAGGTTCTATCGGGAATTAGAACAGTGATGGCTTTTGGAGGACAGAAAAAAGAAATTGACCGGTAAGGGATTATGTTGTTTCCACCCCCTGGTTTTGTTTTTTACACAGATAGTAAAGTCAATTTGATGGCAAACAGAGCCCCCGGTGACAAAATGGATTAAACCAGGGGTTCTCAACCTGTGGGTCCCCAGATGTTTTGGCCTTCAACTTCCAGAAATCCTAACAGCAGGTAAACTGGCTGGGATTTCCCCAAAACACCTGGAGACCCACAAGTTGAGAATCACTGGATTAAACCCTTGTGCTGGCAGGACTGACCGAAAGATTGGTGGTTCGCATTCAGGGAGCAGGATGAGCTCCTATCTGTAAGCTCCAGCTTCTCATGCATGAGAGCCCCCAACAGGATGGTAAAACATCTGGGTATCCTTGCAGATGGCCAATTCTCTCACACCAGAAGCAACTTGAACTTTCTCAAGCTGCTCCTGACACAAAAAGAAAGGAAAACAACAGCAAACAGTCCTTTGATGACAGTGGAAAAACAAAATAGAATGGATTGTAAATAGCTTTCAGTGCCATTATGATCAGTACTAAAAAGAAATAATCCCATCAAATGTAATTTGACTCCTTATGTGGAAAGAACTTAAATTAACTAGATTTGAAGTTGAGGATTGTTCACAGCAGAGCTAGGGTTTCTCGTTATGTAGAGGGTTGTCAGCAGAAGGGCTCTAAGGGTGCACCTACACCATAGATTTAATGCAGTTTGACACTCCTTTAACTGCCATGGCTCAATGCTGTGGAGTCATAGGAGTTGTAGTTTTGCAAGGTCATTATCCTTTTATGCAAAAAAGTGCAGGTGCCTCACCAAACTTTGAATCCTAGGATTTCGTAGCACTGAGCCATGGTAGTTAAAGTTATATCAAACTGCATGAATTCCAGAATGTAGATGCACCCTAAGTTACCGTTCACCATATATCCTGAAGTCATTACAACTCCCCAAAATAATATATGATTTAAAAACTTTTTAAAAAACACAAATTACACCTCAAGACATTTAATTGTCCTATAAAACAGCCCCAGCAAGCAGTATAATTTGGACTAAATTATATAATGACTTCAAACTACAGGAAATGAGATTCCACCTGGACATTAGGAAAAACTTCCTAATGATGAGAGCTGTTCAGCAGTGGAACTCTCTGCCCTGGAGTGTGGTGGAAGCTCCTTCTTTGGAGGCTTTTAAACATAGGTTGGATGGCCATCTGTCAGGGGTGCTTTGAATGCAATTTTCCTGCTGCATTTATTTTATTTTATTTACCATATTTATATATGTGATCTGGTCATCGACCGTAATAAAGTTTACTTACTTTTTTACATATTTATATCCCATCCTTCTCACACTGAAGGGGACTCAGAGTCGGCCTTATTTTATTATTTATTTATTTACAGTATTTATATTCCGCCCTTCTCGCCCCACAGGGGACTCAGGGCGGATTGCAATGTACTTATACATGGCAAACATTCAATGCCATACACACACAACATATATAGACAGACACACAGAGGCAACTTAACATTCCAGCTTTTTGATAAGGGTATTCTGGCCACCAGGGGAGCTGTCGCTTCACCGTCCACTTGTGACACTGATGAAGTACTTCCTCATTCTTTGCATGCTTGCTGGAGATTTTTATGGCGTCATAAATTAGTTAAATTAGCCTCCCCGTATACGCGGTACCTAAATTTCCTACTTGACAGAGGCAACTGTCTTTCGGGCTGCAAAGGTCGACAGCAAGCTACACAAATTGGTCAGAAGCTCACTCTGACCCGGCTTCGAACTCATGACCTTTCGGTCAGTAGTGATCTTAGTGCAGCTGACTTCCAGCCAGCTGCGCCACACTCCTGGTGCTGATTGGCTACAATTCAATGCCATTTAAAACAACCAATTAAAATAATTAAATTAAAACCATAGGATTAAAACATATTACCAAAATTTTTAAAGACCACATAATCCAAAATTGTAAGTCCTCTTCCAACTCTATGATTCTATGGAATGACTTGTATACATTTCTGTTACTGATCTTGCAATCTTTTCTCTTCTTTCAAAAATATTGAGAGGAATAATTTTTGTGTCACAAGAGTTCTTGAAAAACATGGTCATAATAAAAAAAACACACACGCAAATAGACAAAAATAATTTCCCTCCCAAGTTAACAAAATGTATAATTGAAACCGAGAGAAATGCATTTTGTTATCCAGTGCAGATTCTATAATGTGATATTTGCTGTTCTTTCAGGTATTCTAAAAATTTAGAAGATGCTAAAAACATGGGAATAAAAAAGGCTATTATGGCTAACATGTCCATAGGAATTGCTTTCTTACTGATATATGCAGCATATGCATTGGGTTTCTGGTATGGAACTACTTTGATCCTTGCGGGCAAGTACAGTATTGGGAAAGTCCTCACGGTAAGTGACAAACAGTTTCCCAATGTTCTTTTTTTATAATCAGTGACCAAATTCAACATTGCTCAGAATACATGTGGGATACAAAATGGAATTTACGAAGAAATATGTTTATATGATGCCATGCACAATATTTCTGGGGTGCCCTCCTACGTAAGCCTAAAGGAAAGTGATTTGTGAGTCAGACAAAAGAAAGGATTTGCTTATATTAGTGTTTCTCAACCTAGGGGTCGGGACCCCTGGAAGGGTCACAAGGGGATGTCAGAGGGGTCGCCAAAGACCATCAGAAAACACAGTATTTTCTGTTAGTCATGGGTATTCTGTGTGGGAAGTTTGGCCCAATTCTATCATTGGTGGGGCTCAGAATGATCTTTGATTGTAGGTGAACTATAAATCCCAGCAACTACAACTCCCGAATGTCAAGCTCTGTTTTCCCCAAAACTCCATCAGTGTTCACATTTGGGCATATTGAGTATTCATGCCAAGTTTGCTCCAAATCCATCATTGTTTGAGTCCACAGTGCTTTCTGGATGAACTACAACTCTAAAACTCAATGTCAGTGCTCACCAAACCCTTCCAGTATTTTCTGTTGGTCATGGGAGTTCTGTTGAGTCTCCTTCTCTAAAAACAGTGCCTGGATAGCCATTTATCAGGAGTGCTTTGATGGCAAAAGGGTTGGATTGAATGGCCTCTTACATAAATTATAGGTCGTTTAAGGGATCAGACAATTTATGGGAGATAATTTTTTCCAAGGCTAATAACTAATACATAAAAAGTAACTTTTGGAGGCTGCAGATCCCAGAATCTTTCCATTTCATCATAGCAACTTGCCATTCTGCTTGTCCAGATTCTAGGAGCTGTAGTCCAATAAGGTCACTTTTCCAAAGTCAGTTGGTAAGCAGATGATGAAATAGAAGCTCAGGCTTCAAATGTGTGATTTTATTTATACGCATGTTTTGGTAGAAGGCAGTCAAATAGTGGGGGGATTATCACATTTCCATCCCATCTGTGGGCTACAAAAAGTCACCCACAGGCAAACTGACTAATAAGATGCTAGATCAGATTGTCTTGCATCCTAATCCAGGAGGACTGCACTCCGGGTGCATCTACACTGTAGAATTAGTATAGTTTGACACCACTTGAACTGCCCTGGCTGGATGCTATCGAAGCATGGGAGTTGTGATTTGATGAGTCACCAGCACTTCTTGAGAGAGAAGGCTGAAGATGTTGTAAAACTACAACTCCCATGATTCCATAGCATTGAGCCATGGCAGTTCGAGTGGTGTCGAATTGCATTAATTCTATGGTGTAGATGCACCCTTTGTCTTGCACTGGGGTGGTAGCTTTCTGTATCTCTTTCTGGTATCTGTGTTTCATATAGAATCATAGAGTTGGAAGAGACCTCATGGGCCATCCAGTCCAACCCCCTACCAAGAGCAGGACAATCGCGTTCAAAGCACCCCCAACAGATAGCCATCCAGCCTCTGTTTAAAAGCCTCCATAGAAGGAGCCTCCACCACACTTCAGGGTAGAGAGTTCCACTGCTGAACAACTCTCACAGTCAGGAAGTTCTTCCTAATGTTCAAATGGAATCTCCTTTCTTGTAGTTTGAAGCCATTGTTCCGCATCCTAGTCTCCAGGGCAGCAAAAAAAAAAGCTTGCTCCCTCCTCCCTATGACTTCCAATCACATATTTATACATGGCTATCATGTCTCCTCTCAGCCTTCTCTTCTTCAGGCTAAACATGCCCAGCTCTTTAAGCCACTCCTCATAGGACTTGTTCTCCAGACCCTTGATCATTTTAGTCACCCTCCTCTGGACATATTCCAGCTTGTCAATATTTCTCTTCAATTGTGGTGCCCAGAATTAGACACAATAATCCAGGTGTGGTCTAACCAAGGCAGAATAGAGCGGTAGCACGACTTCACTGGATTTAGACACTATGCTCCTATTGATGCAGCCCAAAATCCCATTGGCTTTTTTTACTGCTGCATCACATTGTTGGCTCATGTTTAACTTGTTGTCCATGAGGACTCCCAATATCTTTTTCACACGTACTGCTCTCGAGCCATACGTCCCCCATTCTGTATCTTTGCATTTAATTTTTTCTGCCTAAGTGGAGTATCTTGCATTTGTCACTGTTAAACTTCATTTTGTTAGTTTTGGCCCAGCTTTCTAATCTGTTCAGATCATTTTGAATTCTGCTCCTGTCTTCTGGAGTATTGGCGATCTCTCCCAATTTGGTGTCGTCTGCAAACTTGATGATCATGCCTTCTAACCCTTCATCTAAGTCATTAATAAAGATGTTGAACAGGACTGGGACGGAACCCAATTATATCACATTGAAGAGCCATGTCTGTATTTCATTTTGAGAGCATATGTTAGCATCTGCGTATTGGGTCCTAAGCATCCTTTACTTTGCTCTTCTCTACCCTAAATTTGGGCACTTTCTTGATGCCTGTGTGCTCCATCCTTGGCTATTTGTCCTCAGTTTTCCTGACCTTGCCTGAACTTCCTTCTTCAGTTCCCAAAAGTTCAGATGAGCTAAGTCTGTCCTTGGCTTTTCCCCTGACCTGGGTGCTCACTTCCTTTCATTGTGCAGCAAAGCATTGTCTCAAAACAGTCACCGTGCCAATTTCCACACTAGGCTCAAGTGAATAGGCAAGTCAAAAGAAGTTGTATATTATGATTTGGGGAGGCTCCTCATATCTCTACCTGCACTCCTACTGGCATTGTATAAAAGGTTATGAGGGGGTGGGGTTGGGGAACTGCCCAAGGCTTTTAACCTTCTCCCTCCCTTTCTGGCTTCATTTCCAATGTACCACAATAGTTAGAATTCCATAGGTGAAAATATATGGTACTACACTTAGGCTGTAAAATTGAAATGCACAGATATAGGGTGGATGACTCCTGGCTTGGAAACGGTCCATATGAAAGGAATCTGGGAATCTTAGTAGACCACAAGCTGGATATGAATCAACAATGTGGATAACACCATGTCCAGTTGTGCCCCACAGTTCAAGAAGGATGTGGACAAACTGGAACAAGGCCAAAAAAGGGTGACCAAATGATCAAAGGTTTGGAAGCCAAGCCCTATGAGGAACGGCTTCAGGAGCTGGTTATGTTGAGCTTGGAGAAAAGAAGGCTGAGAAAAGGGGACATAATAACAATATTTAAATATTTGAAAATATGTGACATTGAGGAGTGGGGCAGCTTGTTTTCTGCAGCTCTGGAGACTAGGACATGGAGCAATGGATTCAAATGCCAGGAAAAGAGATTGCACTTAAACATTAGGAAGAATTTCCAAAGAACAGTTCAACTGTGTAATATGCTGTCACGGGTGCTTTGGTTGTGTATTCCTGCATGGCAGGGAGTTGGACTGGATGGCCCTTGGGGTCTCTTCTAACTCTATGATTCTGTGCCAGTGGTTCCCAACCCTTGGACCATGACACCTAAAGTAAGGTGAGTGGCCCCAAAGTAATTATTATTATTATTTTACTGACACAAACACAGTATGACACAGCAAACGAGATATATATGCTGGATTTCGTATCACAAAATCATGAAGTCGAACACTTCCCAAGTGTTTAGCACTGTGTGATGCATTATTATTATTATTATTATTAATAATAATAAATAATTTAATAATAAAAATAAATGTATTATTGTTGTTGTTGTTGTTATTATTATTATTATTATTATTATTATTATTATTATTATTATTGCTCCCATTGCCAAACACGGGAGTTGTAATGGGAAAGCAGCCCTTTATAAGACCCTGTTTAGCCCCCCAAAGTAGTAGTAGTAGTAGTAGTAGTAGTAATTATTCTTATTACTATTAAAGCTGTTAGGGATAGTTTATTGGGTCTCGGGCTCTGCTTTTTGTGTTTTTTTCAAACTCTAAAGTTGACCAAAAACTGATTCATAACCTTTTGGTACTAATGTTGGAGAGTGCTTCCTGGTCAAAGTGGTCCCTGGTCAAGTGGTCCCTGGCCAAAAAAGGTTGGGAACCACTGTTCTATGTTAACCAGGACATATGTGGCCTGTTACCATCAGAGTATATTCAAGGTTCCACAATTTAGTAATGCGGAAGATCATACAAGATAGCAAGCTGAGGACAAAGGAAGAAACTGCAAGGAAGAGGTATTTTAAAGCAGTTGCTATAGTGGGACAACAGAGGATTAATCAGGGCTTTCACTAACAAATTAGAACCATTAGAGGATATGATGCATACAAAGGCTTTTTTCCCAAGAAGAAATATAAATATTTGGACATTTATACAATTAACTGCAATGGGGTTTAGTACACTAGAACATTCCATTCTTTGCATAAATAAATAAAGTTGCTAGCTACTGGTGAGAGAGGATGTTGACCATTCAGACTTACACCTATTCCTTAGTGCTATATAAAAAGGAAAAATAAGTTTGAGCAGTCCTACTCCTAGTAGTATTATTGAAATGTTGTTGTTGCATTGTTGTAAAATGCAACATGTATCCTGCATTGACAAAGTATTATGTGCAGCCATTTGGGAATTACTTCGAAATCAGGATACATTCATGTTATTTAAATATTTCATCCTGCCGTAAAGAGATCATATCTAAGGATTTCAGAGCTGCCTACAATAAAACCAATTTAAACTGCTGAACTTGCTGACCGAAAGGTTGGCGGTTCAAATCTGGGGAGCGGGGGTGAGCTCCCACTGTTAGGTCCAGCTGCTGCCAACCTAGCAGTTTGAAAAACTGCAAGTGTGAGTAGACCAATAGGTACCGTTTCTGCAGGAAGGTAACAGCACTCCATGCAGTCATGCTGGCCACATGACCTTGGAAGGGTCTACAGACAACACCAGCTCTTCGGCTTAGAAATGGAGATGAGCACCCCACCCCTCCATCCCCGAGTCAGACACGGCTAGACTTAATGTCAGGGTAAATCTTTACCTTTACTTTACTTCAAGTATATGAAATTATAATAGCTGAAATACCATCAGTCTACTAGCAAGGGAATCTCAGCCTATGTGCCAATAATATGGAATTTGCAGCGATTTAATCTTTGCCCTGTCTTTGAACACTGCCTGGATTTTGTGACCCTGTGCTTGGAATTAATAGATGATGGGTAGTGTATTCCTTTCCTCTCTGTATTTGTTATTTGCTTTGATAAACATTAAGATTCATCCACATGACATTTAACATCAAATGGAAACTTTTAAACTTGAATGAATAAATGAAGAATGATTAATATCTTCTTTTTCCATTTCCAAAGATCTTCTTTGCTGTCCTGATTGGAGCATTCAGCCTTGGGCAGGCAGCTCCAAACCTAGAAGCCTTTGCTATTGCCAGAGGAGCCGCTTATGCAATTTTCAACATCATAGACAGTGTAAGTCTCGTTTTTGGAGCCGTGACTTGTTGTAATGGAGAGCCAGGAAGTCTGCATGTTAGTATAGATTTGTAATCATCCTTGGCTTGAATCCAGAGAAGAATGGGAGCAGCTCTACATGCTTAAGGGTTGTTTCCGATGCCACACCACAAGCCACGTCACAGACAGAGGAAATGTTTAAAATTGGCATTGGGAAGTGTGTTGTTCAGAATATAAATTCCCACCGGCTGTTCCTAAATTCCTGTCTATGCCTAAAGTACTTCTTTGAATGCTAGCCATAACATATATTGTTAATGGCTTCTCCCTAATTCTCACTGAACAGCTGTATAAATCACAAATGATCAATAAATAATGCTAAGAGGCTAGTACTAATTGATCAGAAGATGCAGAAGACACTGCCTGCCTCAGTATGCCTTGAAATGCCAATCCAATTCATGTATGATGAATTTTAAGAAGTAATATGCATGGGACCAGAAGTTTGGTATTTTTTTTATTTTGGAATACATGTATTTATAATAGTAATAATAAAACTTGATTAATATTTTGCCTGATGTTCCCGTGGGGACTCAGGGCGAATTCCAGCAAACAAAAAGGCAAACATTCAATGCCTCAGTACAACAACAAATACCAACATAATAATCCATAATATCCCCACATATGAAAACAACTTACAACATGACATCTATAAATGAAATAAAATGTAATCAACCAAAATTTATAAAGTGACATAAAACCTAAACATAAAACATCCACATTGACATTAACATTACATTAATTTACAGGAGCCAACTAAAATTCACAAGGATATGTGAGTTAATTGTGTGGCCAGTGATATTAACTGGACTAACATGGCCTGAATACAATATTAGTTTTTAATCAAAGATCATGTAATGGTCTCTCATTATCTAGTCCCCCTCCTCTCTGTATACTAGTGAGCAAAAATAAGTTTTCAGTTGTTTCTTGAAGGGGAGAAGGGGCCATCTTTATTTCTTTAGGGATGGGGTTCTAGAGGTGGGGGGGCGATCTCAGAGAATACCCTCTCTCTCATTCCCACCAACCATGCTTGAAATCCTTTTATACATTTCAAAACAACAACACACATACTAGAATTTGTGTGTGTGTGTGTGTGTGTGTCAGGAGCAACTTGAGAAACTGTAATTCGCTTCTGATGTGAGAGAATTGGCTGTCTGCAAGGATGTTGCTCAGGGGATGCCCAGATGCAAATATCATCTTTAAATTGATGCTTCCAACAGATCCATAGTAGGGAGGGCTTGGAAGAAGCAAGGGCTGGGTTATGGGTTCCGTTTTCCTTGAATTGAAATGAAAAAGACCTCTTTATTCTGACCCCAAGACTAAGATCCCTTTCTGCCTAGCTTTGTAAGTAGGAGGCACTGGAGATAATGGTGTGAAATGATTTGCAGATTAAGTGTAAAATCCACTAAATTATTTTTATTTTTATTTAGGAACCTAAGATTGACAGTTTCTCAGAATCTGGTTACAAACCTGACCAAATTAAAGGAGATATGGCTTTCCACAATGTGCATTTCAATTATCCAGCAAGAGAAGATGTCCAGGTATCATGAACTAAATCAGTATAGATTATCCGCATCCATTTAAGCCTTGGGTTTTTTTTTTCATTAATATTGAAGGAAACTCAGTGTACAGTCTGAAATGTGTTTAGAATGTGTAATTGCGGTCAACTCAGACTTACTGGTTTGCTCCTGTGAGGCATGTTATAGTACATCTTAATGACACCTGAAACCAACTAACATTCTGGGTAAATTGTTTCAAACTATACCAGAAGGACTGGGAATCACGCAAACTTGTGTCCCCAGAAGTTGCGTATTTTATTCAAAGTGCAATAACTTAAAATCTGGACACACCATGTTTCAAAGTATCTTGTGCATCTTTATGTGTTTACTCATTCAGGTGTTAAAAGGGCTGAATCTGAAGATTAACAGTGGCCAGACAGTCGCTCTGGTAGGCAGCAGTGGCTGCGGGAAAAGCACAACAGTCCAATTGATACAGAGATTTTATGATCCTCTGGAAGGCATGGTAAGATACTTGATCCAATCCAAACTGTTCTACTTAGTGAAAGCAGATGGGTGGAAAGACTCAAGAATCCTTTCCCTTTAGCTTCTAAAAATTTGTCTGAGTGCTTTGAATTAAATGCGGTGACACTCTTGTAAATCTGAGGTATAGTGCACTTTAAAATGCCCTGCTTTCCTAATAAAATAAGTCAAAAAAATAATAAAATACATAAAAGCTAACCCAAGAGTTCAACATTTTTAAAAATGTGTATCATAGAAAAAACATGAAGAGGGTAAAATTATTTTGGCTAAAACAAGAATTACACCCCAACCTAAAAATTGAGCAAAAGGATTGAGTAAGTGACATAAAGCATTGAGGCACTCCAGACTGTCTGGCTCTTTTAGGCTTCCCTCAGATTTTTATATTTTTCTCAAACCAAACATCTTGTAGGTGTCCACTTTAGCTCTTGTTACTAGACATGTTCATTTGAGGAAAACCTTGTCCCATTTCGTGTCATGACTTTTGTTGGGGGCCCTGATCCATTTTTTGTAAGCCTCCCGAAATGGGGAGGGTTGTTTTTGGTTCTTTTGTTTCGAAGCCCAAAAATTGGACCATTGTGGGAGGGGGGCTTCCCACTCACTGGCTCCCTGTCCTGGCATGCGTTGTTCTTACCTGGCACCTGCTTTTTCTACTATAGAGTAAGAGGCACTCAGATGTAGGCACTGCTTTCCGGGCCTGCCTGCACATCCCGCGACACAATCACTCTCCTTGGAAAGAGTGTGTGTGTGTGGAGAAGCATGCAGGCAGATCCAGAAAGCACACGTGCCTGTAGCCAAGTGCATCTTACTCTAGAGTAAGAGGTGCTCAGCTGCAGGTGCACTCCAGGCCTGCCTGCACACCCCGCCACACATGCCTCGTCCCACATTCTGAGAGTGCGTGTACGGCGGGGTGTGTAGGCGGACACAGAGCATGCCTGCAGCCAAGCTCCAGACCTGCCTGCCTGCATGCCCCGTCACACACGTACTCTCTTTCCAAGGCCAGGAGGCAAATTTGGATGCACATGAAAGCAGGCTGTAGGCAGGCTGTTATGTTGAGCAGAATTTTATGTGGGGAGGGGGCTTTCCATTTCATGCTTCCTAATAAATGGAAGACACGAAAGAAACAGTAGTAACAATAGGAACAAATTTCACACACATGTCTAGTTGTTACCTAGCAGACTTGTGTAAAAGTAGAAATGCATGTCTGAAAAAAGTAGAAATGCATGTGGAAATGTCTAAACGTTTAGAAGTGGAAGGACAAAAAGGACCACAAAGGTGTAAATTTAGAAAGAAATATTATAATATAAATATTATTTTATGAATACTTGGGAAAAGTGGTGAGAAGAGTGGCTATTCCATTGAAAGGCCCTTGGTGCTTTCTCTTCATATAATTGTCTCTAAATTGAGCTTGAAATTGGTGTCCCTTCAAATGTCAACCCCATGCTTTGTTTTCTCTAACATCCTTTCGAAACAGAGAACTGCATTATGTCAATTTGGACATGTGGCATCTCAGTCCCACTTATGCTCCCCAACATTCCTATCTCAATATTCCCTTCTCTTGTGTTTCCTTTTATAAGCTGTATTCTGCACTAATGGATATCTTTTGACTCTTTTTATATTTTCTTATTCTGATACTTGGCAAATATATCCTATTAAGATTAACCTGGAATCTCTGTTGTGTAATTTTGTTGCATTGTAGGTCACCATTGATGGACAGGATATTAAGACCATAAATATAAGGTATCTGAGGGAAATTATAGGCGTGGTGAACCAGGAACCTGTGTTGTTTGCCACCACCATTGCAGAAAATATTCGCTATGGCCGTGAAGACGTCACCATGGAAGAGATGGAGAAAGCCGTGAAAGAAGCCAATGCCTATGACTTCATCATGAAGTTGCCTGATGTAAGAAATTGAGATAACCATTTTCCATCTCCTGTTCTAAACTGGGGATGGGAAACTGTGGCATTTCAAATGTTTATGGGCTACATCTGTCATCACCCCTCACTTCTTTTTTTGTTTAAAGTTCTATTGAAGTTTCATTTGCTTAATGTCAAGGTTGAACGTAAACATGAGGATGAAAAAAGGAATTTGAACAATCCCTAAAACAAATTAACAGTTAAAAATTTTAACTCAATCACAAGATCGAAATATTAATGCAATATCTGAGATAGGTAAAGGTAAAGGTTTCCCCAGACATGAAGTCTAATCGTGTCTAACTCTAGGGGGGGTCATATGTTGCACCCCAGGCCAGGAATCCCTCTGACTTCAAACACCACACAGTTGAGAAAAATAGAAAGCAGTTTATTAAGGATAATTAAAAGCAGCAGTGGTAAAAAGTTATCCACAGTAAAAGGTACATCCAATTAGGTAGGAAAGGTAAATAGGAACAGATAATCTAGGAAAACAGGCCTAAAGAGTCCATAAAAACAGATACTGGAACTTCCAAGGCAAAAATCCCAAAGTACTTGAATATGAATCAAACAAGACACTTAAACATGAATAACAAGGCACTTAAAACAAGACATCCAGGAACCTGGGAAGAGATTTTGACCTAAATCCAACATTGCTTCATCTGGCTACTTGACACTTTTATCCCTGCTGTCTCTACTACTGTGTTACCCAAGCAGCTAAGAAATGATTTTTTTCTCAGCCTTGGATTCCTGCCAGCCTCTGCTGTAATGTAGCTGCGTGCCTGAGAGCCTGATTTGTTTGTCTTTGCTGACTGAAAACACTTCTTCTGTTCAGAGGCTTATTAACTTCTGCCCCTGGACCAGGCTCAAGGCCTTGAGAATTCTCTTGTAACAATTCAGGCCCAGGGAACAGACCATCATCCCCAATCCCTTCAGGAACATTCTCATCAGAAGAGTCATTTTGAACATGAACCACATTGTCATTCCCTGCATCTACAGTAACCTGATCCTTGAACACATGAACCACATTGTCATTCCCTGCATCCACATCAACCTGATCATCACACATATGGACCTCATTGTCACTTCCATCATCCAGAGTACCCTGATCATTAGACACAATCACAGGCTGAACTCCAACATCGTGTTCATCTCCATTTCTACGCAAAAGAGCTGGCATTGTCTGTAGACACTTCCAAGGTCATGTGGCCAGCCTGACTGCATGGACCGCAGTTACTTTCCCACAGAAGCGGTACCTATTGTCCAGTTCTGTAGCTTTCTGGTGAAAAAAATTACCTCACAAACAAAGTGGGAAGGCTTTATTTCAAAAGCATACATTGGGGTATGAAACAAAATCCCAACTGACAGTTTATTTCAGCAAGTTCAGCAGCTCGGCAGTTTAACCTGCTGTGTCACCAGGGCCCCCCATCTGAGATACACCATTTGTATGTATATGTGACAATTGTAAATCATCACTCACTGTTGATTAGGACTGATGGGAATTAATTTTTTAAAGCTTGGTTAACAAATTACACTCCGCTAAATAAAGCATAAATAAACATTGAGAGAAGGAATAAGTATTTGTACCATTTAATGGTAATTAAGAGTCTGTTCCTCTACATATTATTTACCTAAGAAAACTATGAAATTGATGGGTCGCCATATCAACTGGTGACTGGAAAACATATAGACACATACATTTAACCTTAAGATGTATGTCTTTGAAAGGATAGCGCTTAAGGGATTTCCATCAGTGAAGATATCATTTATTTTTACTTTTGTGTGTGTGTGCTGGCCTTGAGGTACATTGGTACACTTAGTTGTTATTTTTCAAAAGGAAGTATTTATTAAAGAAATAATAATAAAGTTAAAGGAGACCGCAAAGCTAACACACACAGGAGGAGAAAGTCTTTCAGTTCAAATAGAGAAAACTTGTGCACAGTGGAGACAGTATGTTTCCTGAAGTGCTGGAGGTGTGGTGCAAATATTTTTCCAGCATTGAGCACACAAGGTATTTGCTGTAAGGGTCACTATGGATATTTATTATTGGTATATTTAAGGCATTTGTCACCTGCCTTTCAGGCTGGCTTGAACTTTGGCACAAAATGTAGGGTATTTATGCAATCAAGCAAGCAAGCAATTAATCATTCCGTCTGACTGTTTACTCCAGGAGCATTCCTGGCATCAAAGGAAAGTGTAGCAAGCAAAGCTACCCTTACTCATTCATGCTTTGAGAAATAAATGAAGGAAATGTCTTTTTTCTGTCTTGCAGAAGTTTGACACTATGGTTGGAGACAGAGGGGCACAGCTAAGTGGAGGGCAAAAGCAAAGGATAGCCATTGCTCGGGCTCTGGTTCGGAATCCCAAGATTCTCTTGCTGGACGAGGCAACGTCAGCTTTGGACACAGAAAGTGAAGCTGTGGTTCAAGCAGCGTTGGACAAGGTCTGTCCTCTTCTATAAGCCCAACATAAGCTTTGACCCTTTTAGCTGGGCGTGATAGTAGTCCCAATCTTTCTTGGGTTGTGTAATTTTTTTCTTCTTCTTTACACTGTAGTGTTGTTTTGTTACATGTGCTCCAGGCTTTCTTTATGAAATGTTTGAAGGTATAGCAGTGCCAAGGAGAGAGTTGTGGCTCCAAGCCAAGACTGATGAGGCAGGGAGTGAAGGTGGAGGTGTTTGGCCACCCTTGATTCATAGCCTCTCTGGGTGAAATCAAACTTGAAAGGCAGATATGCTGTGCTTTTAGGAAAGTATCTCTAGCTTATGAAATTCAAAGGGTCACCATAATTCAATAGGTGACTTGGTGGTACATACACACATATTTACCAAGATTATTTCTATCCTGCTTCTGCAGTGTACATTTCAGTTTTAGTGAGTTAATAAAGCACACCACATTAAGAAGATATATTATTCATTGCACTGAAGGTGGATGGTCATCCAGTCTAGGGCAGAGACTCTATAAACAAAGCCTACAGCTCGCTAGAAATAATCAAAATAGACCAAAAGCTGCAGTCTTTGGAAGGAATTCCTAAAAGCCAATCCCTTGTTTCCTTTGAAGGATAAAAATGGATTCCAAGAGCTGCTCTGGAAAATAGAACAAGTAGAAAAGAAGAGAGGCAATAAGAAGATGTTATATTTTCCACTGGGCTAATAACACAGCCCAATAAAAAATGATTTACACACACACACATACACACGTGAGTGAGAGAGAGAGAGGGAGATGTCTTGGTTTTTTAGACCTATTCTTCGGGTTATTTGGGACACTGCTTCAGAAAATTGCATTGTAATTTTCAGCTCTAGTTTCTTAGATATGGCCAACATCATTTTCTCTGAATGAAAAGATGGCGACTGGTAGATGGCATATATTCTATATCTCAAAAACTAGAGTGGATAGGCAGAAACTGGTGCCATTTTTAGAATCAGCTGGTCAAATATAACCAGAAACAGGGCTAACATTTGAGACACCAAATTATGCGTCTCAGTGTAATTATTTTGCCAGGTTTCCTCTGGGATGCTCCTTCTAGGAGGATTTTAACTTGAATTAATGATTTATTAACATAATAGCAAGTTGTGAAAAGAGTTTAGCAAAAAATTAGTGAATGTTCAAAACTGCACTAAAAGGAGAATGCAATTGGATAATTGTCTTCATTTTTAAAATATGAATTTTAAGCATGTGTCCTTTATTTAATCTATGTTTTGTGTATTTTAATACGTGTTTTATAGAAGTACACTTTAATATGTATCTTGTATAGAAATACATTTCAATATGTGTATTTGGTACTTTTGCAATGTTTATGTGTTTTAATTGTTCTGTAACCTTCTCGAGCCACAAAAAGAGGCGGGTAAGAAATAAAATTATTATTGGGTAGCTGTGAGTTTTCTGGACTGTATGGCCATGTTCCAGAAGCATTCTCTCGTGATGTTTTGCCCACATCTATGGCAGGCATTCTCAGAGATTGCGAGGTCCTTTGGAAACTAGGAAACTGATGTTTATATATCTGTGGAATGCCCAGGGTGGGAGAAAGAACTCTTGACTTTTTGAGGTAGGTGTTAATGTTGCAATTGATTAGCATTTAATTGCCATGTAGCTTCAAAGCCTGGCTGATTGATCTCTGGGGATTCTTTGTTGGGAGGTATTAGCTGGCCCCGATTGACAATTACAAGGCCATTAAATGCTAATTGATGTGGCCAGTTGCAACATTCACACTTGCCTTAAGCAGACAAGAGTTCTTTCTCCCAACCTGGACAATCCACAGATATACAATCTTCACTTGGCTAGTTTCCAACAGACCTCAGAACCTCTGAGGATGCCTGCAAGAGATATGGGTGAAACGTCAAGAGAGAATTTTCTGGAACATGGCCATACAGCCCAGAAAACTCACAGCAACCCAGTGATTCTGGCCATGATAGCCTTCGACAACATAATAATAATAATAATAATAATTATTATTATTATTATTATTATTATTATTATTTTATCCCAATTCTATTCAAATAGACCCAAGGCAGACTTCTGAACAAAGAAGTCTGAATTATAGCCTTTACAAAGTACACTTCTTTCTGTCACCATGGAGAGAAAACAAGCAACTTTCCAAAGATATGGTTCAAAGTACCACAGAAAATGATTGGATTTCCGTGTGGGAGAGCTATTCCTGGGTTAGCTATGTCGTTCCCCGAATGACATTGGGCAAATCATTAACTCTGTCGTGAGAGGCAGAAAGAATCATAAAAGAATGTCTTAAGAGTTTACAAAGCCATTTTGCTGTTGATAGTGTAGCCATATACATACCTACTCAGAATCCTAGGCTATGTGATTATAACCTGAACTTGTGACACTTGACCAGGAAACTCATGAACAGATCATCTATTTTAAACCTCATCTAGTCATTTTTAAAGTGCACTGAGTACCTTAAACTGGGGCTAATTTTAAACCAGATGATGTCAAAAGATGCTTTTAAACATTAAAACATAGTTTATTAAGCTTTCTAATACACAAAATAATGTTTCAAAGAACTACTACGTTGGAAATAGCAAACTTCTTCAAGCCCCCACTAGTTATTTGTTGTGTATTGCTTACTGTATTGTATATGTCTGTATTGGTATGCAATTTTGCCTTAACTCTTTGTTGTGGGAGGGGCTGAAGACCATGTGATCAAAACTGGGCTTGTTCAGGACTCAGACTTCATTTTAGAACAGTTAAGTTTAGACTTCAGTAAGAACTGTATGCTTTAGACTTCAGTGCAGGAACTATATGCTTAGAGACTTTAGTAAGAACAGATGTATGCTTTCAGACTCTCAGATCATAGAATCATAGAATCAAAGAGTTGGAAGAGACCTCATGGGCCATCTAGTCCAACCCCCTGCCAAGAAGCAGGAATATTGCATTCAAATCATCCCTGACAGATGGCCATCCAGCCTCTGTTTAAAAGCTTCCAAAGAAGGAGCCTCCACCACACTCCGGGGCAGAGAGTTCCACTGCTGAATGGCTCTCACAGTCAGGAAGTTCTTCCTCATGTTCAGATGGAGTCTCCTTTCTTGTAGTTTGAAGCCATTGTTCCGCGTCCTAGTCTCCAGGGAAGCAGAAAACAAGCTTGCTCCCCCCTCCCTGTGGCTTCCTCTCACAGATGTATGCTTCCAGATTTTATGAACTCCATTGGACTTTCAGACTAGACAGAGACTCTATTAGACTCTCAGTACAGAGATATGCTTTAGATTATGGACTGTTGATTATAAGAAAAAATGCCCTGTGTTACCTACACAGAGAAACTACTTCACGTCTACTTGTAACTGAGTTGATAAGCAAAGTACCTGTATATTGAGTATATGAAGTTTGTGAGTAAACCAACTATCTAACTTAAAGAAGTCTGCCTATTTTTGTCTCTTGAGAGCATGATTTAAAGGCAAATATATTTTAAGGGAGAGTAGATGTTTTTTGGGCAACTAAAAGAACACTTCTGAAACTCTGCTATATATGTCTGTGTTTTTGTGCCTTCGCAGAACATATCTAAGTTTATCAGTCTAACAGCTGAGAAACCTGATTGCCTTGCATGAAAGCCATTCTCCCAAAAGTTAAGTTATGACTCTAACAGGTCATGCTTTTTACCAAGAGGTTATGGCATTATTTTTCAAAAGGTTGTGACTTCTAACAAGGTCATGTCATTCCAAAGATCATGAAAGCTCCAAAAGGTTATGGAGATTTCCATTTTCCAAAATACTATAATAAGCAGGATGTAAAAAATGCAAAAATGGATTTAAACTAAAAATATATTTAAACTAAAGGCCTGTTTTTTTTTCTCTAACGCTTTTTTCCCCAACCCTTAACTGGGGCATTTACTGAGAATTTCAGTGCATTGTGGAATATAAAAATGCCCTACATTCATAGGGTTCACAGTCAGGGATATTCCATAACACCCAAATAAAGATAACTACAAAAGACATGTTGAAGGAAAGTGGTGGGTTTGTTTTGAGTTGCTGTCAGTCCTTTTTTCCCTCCTGGCAAAATAGTAAAATAAATTGTGTCTTAAGTCTTCTTTTGTTTTTATTTTTTAAGTTTGTAGATGGTGACCAGCTATAACTTGGAGACATTGTTTACAGCTTTCCAAGTGCTAATGTCATAGAATGTCTGCCGTACAGTTTAAGTTCTTTGTGAATTTTCACCAAAAGGCAACCCTGGGAGATATTATTATTATTATTATTATTATTATTATTATTATTTCATCCTGCTTTCTTTTATTTGTGTCTTTTCAGGCAAGGGAAGGCCGCACCACAATAGTGATCGCCCATCGCTTGTCTACAGTCCGAAACGCAGACCTGATTGCTGCTTTTGAAGATGGCACCATCATAGAGCAAGGGTCTCATAATGAACTTATGAAAAGGAAAGGAGTTTACTACAAACTGGTTAATATGCAGGTATGATCTTAATTTACTCCTCTTCTCTCTTTGAGAATGAAAAGAGACTTGAAGTTATATTTTATTCAGACTTTATATTAACTATGCCTGTTTTAAGGAGCCCTGGTGACGCAGCAGGTTAAACTGCTGAGCTACTGAACTTACTGACCAAAAGGTCAGCGGTTTGAATCCAGGGAGCGAGGTGAGTTCCTGCTGTTAGGCCCAGTTTCTGCCAACCTAGCAGTTTGAAAACAGGCAATTGTGATCAATAGGTACCACTCCGGCAGGAAAGTAACAGTACTCCATGCAGTCATGCTGGCCACATGGCCTTGGAGGTGTCTATAGACAACACTGGCTCTTCAGCTTAAAAATGGAGATGAGCATCACCCCCAGAGTTGAACATGACTAGTGATGCCGGCCACATGACCTTGGAGGTGTCTACGGACAATGCCGGCTCTTCGACTTAGAAATTGAGATGAGCACCACCCCCCAGAGTTGAACACGACTAGACTTAATGTCAAGGGGAAAACTTTACCTTTACTTATACCAATTTCATTTATTTATTTGCGTTATATTCCATCTTTCTTCCATTGCACTCAAGGAATCAGACATGGTCTATTCCTTGAGCTCAGTGGAATAATAAAAAATTGTTTCCCCAGTACATGTATATAAAATAAGGGTAATCCTGTAATAATTAGGAAAACCTAAACCTACTATGTCTTCATGATAAATAAGTAGCTGTATCCGTCTGTTCTAGAAAATTCCTTCAAGAAGTATTCCAGGTTGCTGTGCAATGTGCCCACTTAGCTGGGAGGAAATTCTATTGGCTTTCTTCTGATTAGACATGCATGGAACTGTTCTGTTTTGTTGCTCTGGTGTTCAAGTCATTAGCGATTCTAAGTTGAACCTATCATTGAGTTTTCCCAATAAGATTTGTTCAAAGGGGGTTGATTTTGCCTTACTTTGAGGCGGGGAGAGTGTGTTTTCATGGCCAAGCAAGGATTCGAACTCTGCTCTGCAGAATCATAATGCAGCACTCAAACTACTATACAATGCTGGCTCTCTTGCACCATCTACTGCATTGCAAAATTGATTTTTTTTGGACTGTCACAAACTGATTTCTATGTCTATCCTGGCTTTGAATGATGATTGAGTGGAAATGAGGATGGCCGAAGGTAAAACAAGGCAAGACATGTTTAAGTGTTGCCTAGAAGATGAAATTTCCTCAGGCAAAGCCTGCCAGCAGAAATATTAAAGTCCCAGGAAGCCTGTTTTCATTTGCATCTGAACAGTTTACATTTGCAGCAATTCTTTCCTTTTATGCCAGGGGCATTCTGTAACTTTTGGAGATAGTAATTCCTTTGAGACTTGGTTGTTTGTTATGGTAGTCTGGGAAAGTTCAAAAATAAAATAAAAAGTGCTGCCATTTATTTCACACTATTTTGCCAAGTGCAGCTCCATATTGGAATAGTCAATTATTAGACCGTATCACTCTCCAGTGTAACTCCCAGCATTCCACATCATTGGCTGTGCTAGTTGAGGCTGCTGGGTATTGCAATACATCGGCATCTGCAGTGGCCACTCAATACCCCTGCCACACAAAAAGGCAATCAATGAGAGTTTCTAGAGACGTATAAAAGATATTTGGTGCAAGCAAACATATTGTGAGGGGTATTTTTTTGTATATGAAGAGCAGTTGTGCTTTATTTTCAGTCCATTGAAACCGAAGTTCATACGGACGAATCTGACGAAGAGAATCCCGGTTTCCAAAAACAAGAACCATTGAAACGTGTTCTATCAAATGGAGTGAGAAGGCGTTCAACTCGCAGGAGTGTAAAAAACCCAGAAACATCAGATGAAGACCCGGAGGTCGAAACTGTTCAGCCTGTAAGTGCATCACTTTTTAGTTGCCATCCTTCTGATGTTATTTTGCTTCCACAATTAGGATCTGCATCAAAATGCTGGAGTGTGAAGTGTGATCTTCTGCAGTGCCAACCACAATATTCCTTCCACTTCTCCCTCTTTCAGTAATGGCTGGCCATCCAGTATGCCTAGTTCACATCAAGCTGTTTTTGGAATCCTCCCCATATTGTCTTCCCTTTAGATGTTTTATACGTTTGCAAACCTTCAGTTTCACCAAAAGCTACTTAAATCCCCACTTGTTCATGGCCAATGTCTTTTTTGACATATGATAATAGTATTTACAGGACATGAACCCTGGAATGTTTTGTTTCCTTAACAGTGCATGGATCCAGGGTCTCTCAAACTGTAGACCAGTATTTCTCAACCTGGGGGTCAGGACCCCTGGGGGGGGGGGGGGGGTCAGGAGGGTGCATCAGAGGGATCACCAAAAACACAGTATTTTTGGTTGGTCCTGGGGGTTCTGTGTGGGAAGTTTGGCCCAATTCTGTCATTGGTGGGGTTCAGAATGCTCTTGGATTGTAGTTGAACTATAAATCCCAGCAACTACAACTCCCAAATGTCAAGATCTATTTTCCTCAAACTCCACCAGTGTTCACATTTGGGCATATTGAGTATTCATGCCAAATTTAGTCCAGATCCATCATTGTTTGAGTCCATAGTGCTCTCTGGAAGTAGGTGAATTAAAACTCCAATACTCAAGGTCAATGCCCACCAAACCCTTCCAGTATTTTCTGTTGGTCATGGGAGTTCTGTGTGCTAAGTTTGGTTCAATTCCATCTTTGGTAGAGTTCAGAATGCTCTTTGATTGTAGGTGAACTATAAATCCCAGCAACTACAACTCCCAAATGACAAAATCAATCCCCGCCCCCAACCCCACCAGTATTCAAATTTGGGCATATTGGATATCTGTGCCAAATTTGGTTCAGTGAATGAACATACATCCTGCATATCAGATATTTACATTACGATTCATAACAGTAGCAAAATTATAATTATGAAATAGCAACAAACATAATTTTATTGTTGGGATTCAACACAAATGAGGTACTTTAATAAGGGGTTGCGGTATTAGGAAGGTTGAAAACCACTACATTAAGCTATTTTTGGAATCCTCCCCATATTGTTTCCCTTCAGATGTTTTATATGTCTGCAGACCTTCAGTTTCACCCAAGGCTACTTAAATCCCCACTTGTTCATGGCCAGTGTCATTTTTGACATATGATAATGGTATTTACAGAACATGAACTCTGGGAATGTTTTGTTTCCTTAACAGTACATGCATCCAGGATCTCACAAACTCTAGACTTATGTTTTGATTTGAGGGAATGTCAAGTTAATACTGCATGTTTGTAGTGTGTGATTGATTTCTCTCATACTGAGGAGGGCCTGCTGGGAACATAACATGTTATAGGTGTTTTAGGCTATCATTGATCAAACACTACAGTATTTAAGTCGCAAAAAATTATCATAAAAACCCATTAACACTATTTCTGTATTCCAGGATGAAAATTTGCCCCCTGTTTCATTTTTGAGAATCATGAGGCTCAATAAATCTGAGTGGCCTTACTTTTTAGTGGGAACACTCTCTGCACTCATCAATGGAGCCATGCAGCCTGCATTTTCAGTCATTTTCTCAGAAATCATAGGGGTGAGTATACAAAATGTGATGTATTTAACATTCAAAAGCTGCATTTCAATGTAGAATATTTCAAGACAGAATTGATCCTTGTAAAGAAAACTTTATAGTAAGAAGCTGAAAGTACAAATATTTCCATCTATAGCATCATTTCTCAACCTGGGAATCAGGATCCCTGGGGGAGTTGTGAGGGGCTGTCACAGGGGTCACCAAAAACCATCAGAAAACACAGTATTTTCTGTTGGTCATGGGGATTCTGTGTGGAAAGTTTGGCCCAATTCTGTCATTGGTGTGGTTCAGAATTCTCTTGAGAGCTGACAACTTGTATTGAATTGACCTCTCATCCGCGGATTGGATAGCATGACCATCAAAGCCAAACACAGTCATAGCGGAAGTAGTTCAAGGCCGGAAAACAAAAAAATCAACCCTAACACCGTCTGATAAGGAAGGCAGAAAAATAGATGCTATGGGGAAGAAAGCCCATATGGCTGCAGGCCTCTTCACAAGGATGGCCCACTATGCCACATACATGAGTGCCTACCAGACATTTCTATGGAACAAGATGTCCTCCTACATAGATCTATCAGAAAGTGAACAATGCCTAAAATCAAGGTGATCACAACGGGAAAGTATAAATTGGGACACAATTCCCAAGTGTCAAGCTCTGTTTTCCCCAAACTCCACCTGTGTTCACATTTGGACATATTGAGTATCCCTACCAAGTTTGGTCCAGATTCATCATTGTTTGAGTACACAGTGCTGTCTGGATGTAGGTGAACTGCAACTCCAAAACTCAAGGTCAGTGCCCACAAAACCCTTCCAGTATTTTCTGTTGCTCATGGGAGTTCTGTGTGCGAAGTTTGGTTCAATTCCATTGTTGGTGGAGTTCAGAATGCTCTTTGATTGTAGGTGAACTGTAAATCCCAGCAACTACAACTCCCACATGACAAAATCAATCCCCCATACTCCATCAGTATTGAAATTTGGGCGTATTGGGTATTTGTGCCACGTTTGGTTCAGTGAATGAAAATACATTCTGCATATCAGATATTTACATTACGATCCATAATAGTAGCAAAATGACAGTTATGAAGTAGCAATGAAAATACTTTTATGGTTGGGGTTCACCACAACATGAGGAACTGTATTAAGGGGTTATGGCCTAAGGAAGGTTGAGAACCACTGTTTTAGTGGTATGGTTTAATGTATATGTTTGTAGTTGGATGTATGTTTATGTGGCATTGAATTGTGCCTATATATGGGACTCTTGAGTCCCTTTCCGGGTGAGAAGGGTGGGGTACAAATGTGGGAAAGAAAGAAAGAAAGAAATTATACTAAACATATGATGGTGAAGGGAACGGGGATCACTCAAATTAAAAGACATTAAATCTTTAAATATCAGCTGATGAAGGAATATTAACACAGTCTATCTTCTTACAGATTTTTGCAAAAAAAGAAAATTTAAGACAAAAGAGTGATATGTATTCATTGCTCTTTTTAGGAATCGGAATTGTTTCCTTTGTAACATTTTTTCTTCAGGTAAGCTGTATTGTTTGATGGCTATGTGGATGAATTGTGAAAGTAGCATTCAAGATATAAAGACAAACTCTTGTTTCTCTTTTGCTTTGGCAATCCCCCTCCCCATTTATAAGTAATCCAGATTATGCCTTTAATTACAAAAGTGTATATAGTTTCTTGCTGTATTTCATAGAGAATATTATCAGACATATTTTATATGATGATACAATACATTTGTAAAGAGAGAGTATGCGGAGTATCATGTTGGTGAAATTGTGTTATGAGGGTGTACATTAAATATGCATCATATTTTTATTAGTCATCTTATTATTATTATTTAGCTTATTTTATTATGTCAGAGAAACTTTAGCACCTTGACAGATTGACAATATATCGCCTACCAGAATTAATAGATTAATCCTTTTTGGTTCCTCAGTAAAGGAAATGTATTTTGGAAGTAGAATAGCACCCATACACTTGTCACAGCATACTTTTAGTAATGTGTTCAAATGACTCAGAGATTTGATTGGATCCCGGTGACTTTACATATATACACAAACACACACATACACACACACATATACATACACACACACACATATACATATACACACACGACAAATCCATGTTTTGGCAACACCTTTGCACATTGCAATGTTTTTATTGAAATCTAGGAAAAGAGGTCATTTGATTCCCCAAAACTACATGGTTCTTATCTATCATGTGGGCACGACTTGATTGAAATTATTCAGCTCATGTGATATAGTTTTGTTGTTTCCTTCCATTGATAAGAAAGCATGGATTATTTTGATTATATTGTTCTGGATAATCCTGTAGGCCAGCGGTTCCCAAATTGTGTACCACGGAGCCCTATGATTCCTCAAAAAATATTGTAGGAATCAAAATTTCAAATAAAAACACACAAGGCAAACTATTTGATTTACAGTTGCCATAATAACTACAACTATTAAGAAGTCCCCCGGTGGCACAAGCATGTTAAACCACTGAACTGCTGAACTTGGTCGGCAGTTTTAATCTAAGGAGCGGGGTGAGCTCCTGATGTTAGCCCCAGCTTCTGCCAACCTAGCAGTTCAAAAACATGCAAATGTGAGTAAATCAATGCATACCACTTCAGTGGGAAGGTAATGGTGCTCCATGCAGCCATGCTGGTACACAAAAAGATTCTCAGTTGCTCACAATGATCATCCAGTATAACAAAACCAAGGCAATAAAAAACAAGAAGAGAAAAATAACTATGTTGGTCACAGGTTTTTCTAACACCTGACCAGATGACATCCAAATATTAGTCCATACGTAATTATTATTTGAAATATTCCAATTATTTTAGATCATCTGTCTATTGGATCACAAGTGAAGGAAAGTCATAAATGTATTTTATTTGGTAGGGCTACACTTTTGGCAAAGCTGGAGAGGTCCTGACAATGAAGCTTCGCTACATGGGATTCAAAGCAATGCTTAGACAGGTATGAGGACACGTTTGAGTGGTTTGCTTGCGAATCCAGTGAGGAATGGGATTTTCCAGGGATTCAACTGTTTTCTTAATTTCCCAAGGCAATATGGCAAATCAGCTTTCAAATTGTTTACATGGAGTATATGCCTTGATGCAAAACTTAAAGTAGATGTTTACATCCCAGTCTACGTATTTAGAAACTTTGGGCATCAGAATTCATCAGCATATGATATTTCTAAATTGTTGTTTGCTTAGACAAGGTACTGTTCACTTTTTGTCACTCTAGTTGTAGGGGATTCCCCTTGTGATGCAGTGGGTTAAACCGCTGAGCTGCTGAACTTGCTGACCAAAAGGTTGGCAGTATGAATCCGGGGAGTGGGGTGAGCTTCCACTGTTATCCCCAGCTTCTGCCAAACTCACAGTTTGAAAACATGTAAATGTGAGTACATCAATAGGTACTGCTCTGGTGGGAAGGTAATGACGCTCCATGCAATCATGTCGGTCACATGAATTTGGAAGCATCTACGGACAATGCCGGCTCTTCGATTTAGAAATGGAGATCCCCCCCCCCCCCGAGTCGAACACGACTAGACTTAATGTCAAGGGGAAACCTTTATCTTTACTTAGTTGTAGGGTATTAAGTATTACAAGTGCTGTACTAATGGATAATGTTGGTATCCTATCTTGAGGTCCTAAAGTATCTTTGTATGGGGTGTTGTGTGGTTTCTGGTCTGGATAGCCATGTACCATTTTCTCCTGATGTTTTGCCTGCATTCAGGATCCTCTGAAGATGCTAGCCACAGATGCAGGCAAAACATCAGGAAAAAATGCTGCTAGAATACAGCCATACAACCTGGAGACCACACAACCCCTCAGTGATTCCAGACGTGAAAGCCTTCAGCAACATATTTGAATGATTGCCTTGAAAATCTTAGCAATGGGAACTGGGATTGCGATCCTCTTAAGCCAAAAATGCTCAAGCCTCCTGAGTCTGTCTGGTTAAAATACTTGATTGCAGCTCTTATTTGCCTTGTTTTCATTTGCCCTTTGCATTGAGCCCAATAGTTTATTGTATTTAAATTTTTATTATGCTATTACAGGATATTGGTTATTTTGATGATCCTAAAAACAGTACTGGAGCATTGACGACACGTCTTGCTCATGATGCTTCTGAAGTGAAAGGGGTAAGTAGTGTAAACTTCCATCTTTTTGTGATTCCTAGTTGCAGCAGAGATATCGTCCAGTGCAGAAGATATATTTAAGTCCCATGCTTGATGCTATGTAATAATAAGAAACAATAGCTTTTTCTTCAGAGTGGTCTCTGTGAAATCATACATATGGTAGCTACTGCGCCTAAATGCAATAACTACCATATGTGTGGATTTCACATATACTGTGAAATCCATATGTGTGGATTTCACAGATGGCCACTCGAAGAAACACGGTTACAGGTAAACAACCATTCCTTATATTTGGAGAATGTTGCTGTTTGGGGAATTTTTCTGTGATCCAATCCTTGGAATGTCCACATGCGACTACATTGTAAAATTAATGTAGTTTAACACCACTTTTATTACCATGGCTCAAGGCTATGTATTCATTAGAGCTGCAGCTTTGCAAGTTATTTAGCCTTCTTTGCCAAAGTATACTTATGCCTCACCAAACTACAAATCCCAGAATTCCATAGCATTGAACCATGATGCAAACTACATTAAATCTACAGTGTAGATGCATCCTAAGGAAGTATCCTACAAAATCTTGTTTAAGAATCCTACACAAATATACAATAAAGGTCCAGAGCTGGGAAAGAATCCTATATTAAAGCATGGAGATGTGCAGCAAGTCAGAGATGCTAATGCTGGGCTGCACGGGCCAATGATCTTAATTTTGTAGCAGGCAATTTTGTTTGTTTGTGTTTTTGGGAACACAAACAATTTCTCAACCTGTTCCCATGTTGTTTGGTAAAAATGCAAGTGTACCGTTTACTGTGGAAAGGGAAATAGGAGTTTTCTTTGGCATGATTTGAAGAATGGCAGGAAACAGGAAGGAAAAATATTTGGGCCTCCTATTCTCTGCCCCTGTTGCTCTGAACATCCACATCCATTGCATATTATATATTTTGATAACTTGAAATAACCTTAAAACTTATCATTTGTAGTAAAACAGTATGCAAAATTATATCTTATAGCAACATAGAGGCTGGGAGAATGAAGTTGGGAGCATAAACTTTCATAGACTTTGTCTGGGAAAACATGTGCTACCAACTTCATTCGCTCCGTTAGTCTCTATAAGGTGCTACAAGATCCTTTTGCATACCAATTAAAGTTGGGACCGAATCACAGTTAACGAAAATATTTGTAGTTTTCGGAGGACCATTTTTGTGTAATTTCCGAAAACAGAAAGGGGAAGAGACAGACAAAAAGACCAGTGAAACGAATTCAGAGAGACTATATTTTCGGAAAGATTAAAGTCCACAAAATACCTGAGGCAGGGGGATCTGTGGTGTCTTTTTCACTCCACAGCAGAAGAACCCTCTTCTATTTTTTCTTGGAGAGGGCCCTTAGAACTTGCTCTCCCAGTGGCACTAGCATAGGGTGGCCATTGAAAGTTACTCTCAAGCACAATGGGAGTTGAAGTTTTTTTTCTCTCTGTCTCTCTTAGACAATAAAAAGTCCTGAGGTATCCATGCTCTGATTGGCCAGAACCCTCCCTTGCGGTTTATCTTATTTTAAAAAATGTTATATTTAAAACTTAAAATAATTCTTTAAAAAATCAATAGATTGATGAATTGTTTTGAAACTTGGCAGGCCTGCAGTTGTAAATGCGGTCTACAACTAGGTAGATTTCATGCAGATAGGCCTTAAAATGCCTGAGTATAGGGCCTTTAAAGTTTCCCATTGTAGCCAATGGACCAAATCTCTACCAAATGAAATGGAAAACAGCCGTCCTCTTTCAGGTAACTTTCTGGTAAACAAAATGAGGGGCCAGACAAAAACAGACCTGAAAATAGTATACCTTTGGGCTTGAATGCACATAACTAATATCGATATTTTAGACTAAAACAGTTACGTTTTTGGATTTATGGTAGTTATTCGTTTACTATCCTTGTAATAATAACTTACTGGCTATTCTATACACAAAAAGAGAAAACAAAACCACTGTTCTAATATTTGCACTTATTCAAGTCTAATTCTTAAGCATGTCATAAAAACAGAAATGTGTGAGAGGCTTCCTGTTCTCAAGCTTTGACTTGATAAAATCCACAATTTACAAATTTTGATCATGTTACCTTCTGCTTAACTTGAACAAATTAAGGAGCGAAATAAAAGATAATTCAGGAATGCTGCTAAATCTGAACAACAGTTTTCAGAATATAGATTACTTCTGTTAGTAAAAGCTTAGACTGAGCGCCTAAGTAGCATAGACTGAACTGCAGTTCAACTGGGCTGAATCATTTTGCACTGAGTAAGAACTTGCCTTTGTCTCTAGGCAAACTTATCTTGTGGCAGGTGTTTTATTGTGAAAGGCAATGAGGTTCTTTAAATGATCTTCAATGTGTCATACTTCAACGAACTTTGTGTACTGAGATAAGAAGGTTTGATTTCATGTTCAGAACTTCAGAATTTAGATGGAAAGGTCATCTATGCCTTCAAGAGGACTTAGGAAAGAAATAAGCCAAGTCTACTGTTAAGCAGATAACAGAGTGGTGTAGTGGTTTGGGTGTTGGACTAGACTCCAGGAGACCACAATTCAAATCCCTACTCAGCCACTAGGTGATCTTGATCAAGTCATATGAGGGTTATCCGGAAAGTAAGGTTACAAGGCATGTAGCTCTTGTGGGTAATTTTTATGGGGGAAGTTGGTATCACTGCTGTGTAGCAGGAAGCCAGCAGAAGTGAATGAGCAGTGCTAGTCGTCAGTAGCTCATCGACTGGCATTGTGGTGAAGGTTAGAGATGAGCATCCTCATTCCGTTTCCCTCCAAGTGTGAAGTTCACGCTGTAATACGCTACCTAAATGCTAAGGACACGAACATCACTGCGAATCATCGTGAAGTTGTTTCAGTTTATGGAGAGGACGTAATGTCAAGACAGCATGTGACAAAATGGGTACGGAATATATTGAGACCAAGAAGAAACTTTGCAGAGCCATCCTAAACAAACTTCATGGGATGCTGATGGCAGGAGTGTGTCTACTTCATGACAATGCGCGTCCACACACCGCTCATGCAACACAAGAGTTGTTGACTTCATTTGGTTGGGATGTTTTAAGCCACCCCTCTCAAAGCCCCAATATCACACCCACTGACTATCATCTGTTCACTAAATTGAAGGAAAAGCTTGATGGAAAACACTTTTCCGATGATGACAAGGTGAAAATCGAAGTGACGAACTGGCTGAAAAAGGCGGAGGGAAACTTCTACGACAGAGGCATCTAAAACTCATCCCACAGATGACAAAATGTATTGAACTGAATGGTGATTATATGGAAGAATAATGTAATGCATATGCTACAATCCATGTAAGTTTTATTAAAATATATTCATTCTTTGTATTTTTAAAAAAACATTGTAACCTTACTTTCCGGATAACCCTCGTGCTTTCCCAGCCTCAGAGGAAGGTGATAGGAGACCTTCTTTGAAGAAATCTTGCCAAGATAATCCCATAATAAGATCACTATAGATCAGAAGTGACTTTGAAGGCACACAACAAGAAGGGATTGTTATACATGGCAGCACTCCTCTCTCCCAACATATGTCCACTTTGAAAACAGGACTCTGAAGCAACTCAGCAATCAGAGAGACACCTCTGTGGCATTAGCTCCCATTGACAAGATTCCACGTGTTCACTGATCTTATTGAGACCAATCACCCAGTTTTGTTAACTCTTGAGTGCTTAGAGACAAACCTTAACAATTGATCTATGTTTGTATGTGCTTGTGTGTTTCTCTTCTCTCAGGCGACTGGGGCCAGGCTCGCTACGTTTGCCCAAAACCTGGCTAACCTTGGAACAGGAGTTATTATCTCATTTGTGTATGGCTGGCAGATGACCCTCTTAATTTTGGCTGTTGTGCCCATCATTGCCATAGGAGGGCTCATTGAAATGAGAATGTTGTCTGGACATGCCAAGAAAGATAAGAAAGAGCTTGAAAGTGCAGGGAAGGTAAGTCTCTCATAAACCATCAAATCAAGATGGTTGAGTTCTGGTTATTTGTTAACTCATTACTTGGGGTTAATTTTTTTTTCCAGGAGCAAAGTTGGAACTAAATCATATTCTGGTTGTAATTTCATCAGAGATAATTTCACTATGTTTGCAGTGTAACTGTAACTGGAAAAACTGAGTTGGATTATTAGGAAGATGTGGCCTCATTAAATAGTGGAGGAGGAATAGAACATGGTTTCATGCAGTGTCTCGTGCTGTATCTATTTCAGTTCCTTTTGAGAAATTGGAAACTAAGAAATTACTTTTTGAAATGTAACAATACAGTAGAGTCTCGCTTATCCAACCTTCGCTCATCCAACGTTATATATTCAACGCAGTCTGCTTCCTGCCCGGATCCACTGCTGTTTCAATACATTGCAATGTTTTGGTGCTAAATTCATAAATATAATAATAATACCTTATTTATATTCTGCTCTATCTCCCCAAGGGGACTCAGGGCGGATCACAGTACACATACACGGCAAACATTCAATGCTGTTTTTTGTATAGACAATACAGAGACAGAACAGAAGGAGGTGTGTTGTTTTGAATCAATATCCAGCTATTTGGCATCTTGGAAGGTTGGGCTCGAATCCAGCCACAGGGGGGTGCTGTCGCTCCATTTTCTATGACGGAGAACCATCAAGACTTTCTCCTTCCTTTTGGTCACTCCGCATTTTCTGATCTTCTTTCACTATGGTGTCGTGAAATGTCTCCCTCGCTTTTAGCAATACCAAATTTCTCTAATTACAGCTAAGGCTGTTTTTGAACTGCTTAGGTCAACAGTAAGCTGAGCTTGACAGTTGGCAGCTAACACCAACTGGAGACTTCGAACTGACAACCTTTCGGTTGATAGATCTTATCATTTCTGGTAATTTTACCAGCTGTGCTAAACCCCAGCCCAAATACAGTAATTACTACATAACGTTACCGTGTATTGAACTGCTTTTTTTATCGATTTGTTGTAAAACATGATTTTTTGGTGTTTAATTTGTAAAATCATAACCTAATTTGACATTTTATAGGCTTTTCCTTAATCCCTCCTTATTATCCAACATTTTTGCTAATCCAACGTTCTTCCAGCCTGTTTATGTTGGATAAGTGAGACTCCACTGTACTGACAATAACCAAAGCTTCTCTTAGTAGGGGTCAAGGTTCATTCAAGCATCTACCCACAGACTCCATAAACCTCCAGCTTTTGTTGAACTGTAGTTTCTATCATCCTTTATTACTGGCCAAGTTGGAGGGTTTTGCTTCATACCTTATTCAGTGGCCAGTGTCCTTATTCCGACGTGAATAATTTTGCCAGGGTTTTTAGGGCATCATTGTACAAGTTGGTATCCAATGTAGCTTCATCCTAACAATTAATAGGCTGCAGGGGCATGCCTAGGCAGGAAGGAACAGTTTTCACCCCACAGATCATTGGTCTAACTACACAAGTGATAATGTATGCTTCACAACAACTTGGCCATGGATTCCTGTTTCCTGGGAGGCATTTTGTAGGGAAATCAATTACTTCTCTACCATCGAGCCTACTTGTTTCTTTTACAGATCGCAACAGAAGCCATAGGAAATATCAGAACTGTTGTTTCTCTCACTCGGGAAAGAAAATTTGAATCCATGTATGGAGAAAATTTGCTAGTACCCTACAGGTAACACCCTGGACTTTGAGGCCGACACTTGAAAAGCGAGGAGCAAATATTTCATTCTGTACTTTCTTGCTTGCTGCTTGTCTTTGTGCCATTTGAGAAGTAGCTTATCAGATATTACCTCTTCTGATACTTTCCTGTCCTCCATGGAGTAAGGGAGTAAGGTAAACAGGGTGAGGAAGAGTGTAGGAAGTGTATACTCCCCTTCTGGGAGTGTCTGAATAAGTTTAACAGTAACCTATATATCAACATTCAAGGGGAAAAAGTAATCTTTACTCTTTCCCTTTTAACAGAAATTCAGTGAAGAAAGCACACATTCATGGATTGACCTTCAGTGTTTCCCAGGCAATGATGTATTTTACCTATGCGGGTTGTTTTCGATTTGGGGCTTGGCTTGTGGCAGGTGAATACATGGAGTTTAAGTCTGTTTTCTTGTAAGTATATCTCTCTTTAAAAATTCATACAAGCTTTTACACATTAACTACAATATGATGAAATTGGTAATCATAAATATCAAAGTTCCTTGAGAATGAAATGATGGTTTCCATACTGTTTTTATCATGTCTGGGTAGATCAGGAAATGGTCTGCTCTCAACAGAATAAACACTCTTGATTGGGAGCAGCAGCCTTCCTGCTCCACCTTCAAGACACAAGTGACCTTCCTTTCTCAACCTCTGTATCAGTAGTTCTCAACCTGTGAGTCCCCAGATGTTTTGGCCTACAACTCCCAGAAATCTCAGCCGGCTTACCAGGTATTACGATTTCTGGGAGTTGAGGGCCAAAACATCTGGGGACTCGCAGGTTGAGAACTAATGCTCTATATAGTGAACCTTCTCACTAGTTGAGGTTATGGGTACAGGTTCCTGGTGCAAGTGAAAAACCATGAATAAAGAAATTGTTTTACCTGAGAGGACACCTTTCCAGACATTCTAGATCTTTCAGCATGACTCTAAGATTGAATTTTGCTCCAAGTTACCCATAGAATTACAATGGAGCACCTAAGGCAGTGATTCTCAGCCTCAGATATTAGTTAGAGGTCTTACAACATAACCCCAATGGGTAATGAGGGTCATAATGGGTTAAGTGTCTACTTTGGCTCCATCTGTTTTATTTATTTATTTCAAACATTTGTACTCAGTCCTTCTCAACCCCCCGACTCAGGGCGGCTCCATCTACACCAGTGGTTCTCAACCTCCCTAATGCCACGACCTCCTTAATACAGTTCCTCATGTTGTGGTGACCCCCAACCATAAAATGATTTTTGTTGCTACTTCATATCTGTCATTTTGCTACTGTTATGAATCGTAATGTAAATTTCTGATATGCAGGGTGTATTTCCATTCACTGGACTAAATTTGTCACAAACACCCAAATTGGAATGCTGGAGGGGTTGGGGGGGATTGATTTTGTCATTTGGGAGTTGTAGTTTCTGGGATTTCTAGTTCACCTACAATCAAAGAGCATTCTGAACTCCACCAGTGATAGAATTGAACCAAACTTGGTACACAGAACTCCCATGACCAACAGAAAATACTGGAAGGGTTTGGTGGGCATTGGCCTTGAGTTTTGGTGTTGTAGTTCACCTACAACCAGGGTGCACTGTGGACTCAAACAATGATGGTTCTAGACCAAACTTGGTATGAATACTCAATCTGCCCAATTGTGAACACTGATGAAAATATTTGGGGAAAATAGACCTTGATGTTTTGGAGTTACAGTTGCTGGGATTAATAGTTCACCTAAAATCAAAGAGCCCCTTGACCCCACTCATGATAGAATTGGGACAAACTTCCCACACAGAACCCCCATAACCAACAGAAAATACTGTGCTTTCTGATGGTCTTTGGCGACCCCTCTGACACCCCCTCGCGACCGCCCCAGGGGTACTGACCTCCAGGTTGAGAAATGCTGACCTAAGGACTTTATCCCATAGGGAACTCATTCCCCCATGCTGTTTTGCCAGCCTCTGTGGCAAAGTGACAGGGTTTAGGGGCGACTCTGTCACCCCATTCACTGCTTTGTCACAGTGATGCTTCCCCTATCGCATTGTTGAAGTGGCGCAGATCTCTGCTGGCTCCATTAGAGCCAGTATAATACTGGCAGGCCCCGTGTTTAGAGGGAAGCTTTACAGGATGCTTCCACTCTGGTTGTGAGCAGGGCCTCTACCAGAAGTCCAGCGATGTCATGTGATGGACAGCATGCCCATCTGTCGCTGGTCTGGCAGGAAAATGTCCTAGGATGCTTAAAAAGCCCCGTGTGATGAAGTAATCAGCCTCTTGCTTAGAACAAAACAACAGCGACAAAGCAGACAACACAACTGCCCTGTAAAACGAGATACTAGATGAATGTCCAAAAAGTGTAAAATGGCTTCACAACAACACAGCCTAACCACAATACCATTTTTGCTCTGTGCTTTCAGGGTATTTTCCTGTATTGTCTTTGGTGCCATGGCATTAGGACAGACATCTTCATTTACACCAGACTATGCCAAAGCCAAGATATCTGCTGCTCATCTGTTTGCACTGTTTGAAAGAGAACCCTTAATAGATAATTACAGTGAGAAGGGAGAGAAACCAGTAAGTTAATCCCTGTTTTGCTTTCCTTTTGCCCTGCTAGATTTGTATTTGTTTTGGCTATTTCTTGCTAGATTCCACATACCAGGGTATTTGAATTTGTGCGCATCCTCACGCTGTTGAGGATGCCTGCCATAGATGGAGGTGAAACGTCTGCAGGGATGTTGCCCAGAGGACGCCTTGATGTTTTACCATCCTGTGGGAGGCTTCTCTCATGAGAAGCTGGAGCTGACAGATGGGAGCTCACCCCATTCCCCACATTCAAACCACCAGCCTTTTGGCCAGCAGTCCTGCCAGCATAAGGGTTTAACCCATTGTTCCACTGGGGGCTCCCCCTTCATGGGATGATGCCCCTAGTTTATGAATTATTCTTCGTTATGTTCTGCCACCTTAACCACACTCTGATGTCACTTTGCCATATGCCCTCCAGTTTTCCTATGTGAAATGTTGGAAGTTAAGGAGTAAATGAAACAGTAAATGAAATGTGAGGTGTTGATGTCAGTACCAACCCTTTTCCAATTTCCATGGCATTTCCAATGCATTCAAATTGGATTTTGAGTTGGATGTGCAACTGGTCTAGGAGACATAGACTCCTCCTTTCTGCTCCATCCCATGAGAGCCTTCCCAGCTCCCTGAAAGTACTCCTGAGAGGACTAGGTGGCCCTTCTGTTGAAAGTACTGAGCTATGGTTGTTTGTATCCTTGAAAATGACATGAAGGCAGCTTCCATGAGCAGAGTCCTTCTTTTCATAGAGGGTTGATTCTGCGCTTAGTGTTGTGTATTCCCATGAAGTCCTTCGGCCATTCCTTTTGCCCTGAAAAGCATGTTGCTTTAATTCCAGGAAAAATTTGATGGCAACACAGCCTTGAAGGATGTGGTCTTCAACTATCCCAACCGACCCGATGTCACGGTACTCAATGGGTTGAAGGTTGCTGTGGAGAAAGGGCAGACGTTGGCTCTTGTGGGAAGCAGTGGCTGCGGGAAGAGCACAGTGGTCCAGCTGCTTGAAAGATTTTATGACCCCCTCAATGGAGAAGTGGTAAGTAGTATGGGTTTGGGGTTTGCCTTAGGTTTTATTTTTAGGACTCTCCTGCCATTGTATGCTCATTGAGGACTCTTCCAGACTCAAAAAAAGTCTGGGAATTTGGTGAGAGCTTACCTGTGCTTACTGGGATTTTTTTCATAAATAGCCATATGATATACCTCCTGTCTTGGTATATTTCCCATTCATTTATGGGACTGGTCATAATTTTTTTAATCCAAGGCAAGGTATATGTGTGTGTGTGTGTCCTTGGAGTTTCTGATACAAGCAGGGATAAAATCCTTTATCTATATTTTTTCAATATATAGTTTCATTGATAAAGTGTTGACCCTTTGTCACTCAGGTTTTCTTTTGTCCTTCCTTCCCACATTGGATTTTTGGTGACTAGATTGAAAATTTCTCTTCCCCCCCCCCCCCCCCCCCCCCCCCGGGGCGCTCTTAGTTATAGTGCTAAAGCCACATGGCACTTAAGCCTCATGACAAGGAAGAAAGGACCCTGGCCACACTGCAGTTAACTGTATTCAGGCAGACGAAATATACATTTACTGGTATTGTGGTCCCAGCTGGAGGAGTCTTGAGGCCATATGTACTGTTTTATGTGTGTCTGTTTTCACCCTTTAGATATTTAAGCATGTTTGTGTAATACAGTGTTTCTCAACCTTCATAATGCAGTGACCTTTTAATACAGTTCCTCATGTTGTGGCGACCCCCAACCATAGTTATTTTCATTGCTTCTTCATAACTGTAATTTTGCTACTGTTATGAATCATAATGTAAATATCTGACAGGCAGGATGCATTTTCATTTTTCTTATTTCACATGAAACCCAGAAGGTCTTGGGCAACAAAAATTGGCTGTTGTGACCAGTATAAGTGTTGATCTTTAGCTTTAAAAAATCAATTAAAAATATATAGAGGATCCTATAAGACTGTAGACAAGGAAGAAGTGGATATAAAGTAAGAATCTATGATATCTTTCTATGTAATATTTAGATAGTAGACTGTGACCCCTTAATAGAAATATATTATGAGATAAAGGATTATAGAACATTAATAGATAGAAAGTATTGCACTATATGAGGAGCCCCCGGTGGCGCAGTAGGTTAAAGCACTGAGCTGCTAAACTTGTTGACCGAAAGGTCGCAGGTTCGAATCCGGGGAGCGGCGTAAGCTTCCGCTATCAGCCCCAGCTTCTGCCAACCTAGCAGTTTGAAAACATGCAAATGTGAGTAGATCAATAGGTACCTCTCTGGCGGGAAGGTAACGGTGCCGTATGCAGTCATGCTGGCCACATGACCTTGGAGGTGTCTACGGACAACGCTGGCTCTTCGGCTTAGAAATGGAGATGAGCACCACACCCCAGAGTCGAACACGACTGGACATAATGTCAGGGGACAACCTTCACCTTTACTATTGCACTATATGCAACAAACACTTGCAAATGTATGTTTACTTAAATAAATTTTTTTTAAAAAAAAAAATCAGTGGTGAGGTGTTATTTCAACCAGTAAAGTCAAAATTATAACTTAGTCATTGGGCTATGCCAGCTCTCACTTGGCATTTAGCATGTTTTGATCTCACTTCACTTCAAAGTTATTTGTAATAAAGAACACTTTAAATGTCAGATAATATTGCCCTAGGAAATATACACGGGGGATCTCATTGCTGGCCTTTAGGAGGATTTCATTTGATTAATTTTCATGCCCTGCGCTTTTCACCAAAGCACTATCTGTTGCTGCTGTTTTATTTGTTGTTGAGCTTAAGAACAGTCCTGCTGGTTTAAGCAAAGGTCTGCCTGGTCCAGCTTTCTGTTACCTTTGTGACTAACCCATTTTGTTTGTTTGTTCACTTGCTTGAACATTTATATCCTCCCCTATATGAAAGGCAGTGTATAATAAAATAGTCTAGGAACTTAAAACATTAAAGCAGTAAACATGAAATATAGTCATCCCTCCACATTTAGGGGCACAGGACCCCTGCAAAAGTGAAAAAACCTGGCATAGCACTTCTCTAGGAATCCATAGGTAAAGGTAAAGTTTTTCCCCTGCCATTAAGTCTAGTCGTGTCCGACTCGGGGGGTTGGTGCTCATCTCCATTTCTAAGTCGAAGAGCCGGCGTTGTCCGTAGACACTCCAAGGTCATGTGGCCAGCATGACTGCAAGGAGGACAGGGAAGTTGAACATAGAATCATCTGAAGGACCAGCAACTGCCTAGAGACAGACACAGAATGTGGATATTTGGAGGGGAGGGGGACTGGTTTGGAGAAAGGCAGATTACTCTCTGCTACAGAAACCTTATCTATTTTTCTTTTCCAGCTCCTGGATGGTCACAACGCAAAGCAATTACATGTCCAGTGGTTGAGATCCCGGATTGGGATTGTTTCTCAAGAACCAGTCTTGTTTGACTGCAGTATTGCTGAGAATATTGCTTATGGGGACAATAGCAGAGAGGTGCCGTTTGAAGAAATCGTCGAAGTAGCTAAAGCAGCCAACATTCACTCCTTCATTGAAACTTTACCAGACGTAAGCACAATTTCAACATTTGTTCACCTGAATCCTAAGTAGATATGCTTAAGAGTAAACTTTAGTTGTTTGTATTTGGGATTCAATTCTGCGTAGATATGAAAATCAAACCAGATCATATTGTAAAAAATTACATATTGCAACTACCCAGACTTATTACTTCACTTAGTACTGAAGAACAAAGTTTGGAAATGTTACGGTTTTGAATATCGCTTCCAGAATGTCCCAGCCAAAATGTTTACTGGCCATTGTAGCTGAGGGATTGGTAGACATTATTGTCCATTAAAGTATTAGATGGAATCCTGCTGGGGTTTTAATGTCTTTTGACTTATATCTATTGGAATTAGAATTCTACAATTGTATAACAGTCGTGGGTTGCTGTTCTGCAACCTCACAGAAGAGCTAGCAAAGTGCCTGGTGTAGTAAAATATTTTTTTCTCCACAGACTTGTAGTAATTGTTTATCTTATGCTCATTTTGTTGAACGTGTTGTTTGGAGGAAAATTGGTACAATGTGATGAAATTGTACTCTTAGCAACTTAATACCTTGCGTTGTTCTTGTGCCTGAAAAGTACAGTACAGTAGTAGAAATTTTAGCAGGCCATATGATCAGGCATTTTATAAATGCAAACTTCAGAATTCTTGGTCAGTTATTAATACAGCATAAACCAGTCTTACTGTATAGCTGGTATGTCACATTGGATTTAAGGTATCCGATTTTACTTACTGACTGTAGAAATACAACACTGCTGTTGGTGACAAAGGGACTCAACTTTCGGGAGGCCAGAAACAACGCATTGCTATTGCCCGTGCTCTTATCCGTCAGCCTACAATTCTTCTTCTGGATGAAGCTACCTCTGCACTTGATACAGAAAGTGAAAAGGTAACTATCCCCCTTGATGTTATGTGCATTGGAAACAGAAACCCCACTGATATGGTACAATGTAGCTTCACATGCTATATCATGCTTCTAACATACCAGCCAGCATTCTGTTAGGGACATGCACATGTGTCAGTTTCCTTTATATGTTTCTCCCTCGACAGTGACCAAAGTCACTGGCAGTCACTGCACACAACTATTCGGTGATTTGCCACAAGCAAGCTGGAAGAGAATAGCGCTTGGGTACATCCTCTCAGCCAGACATGAAATGATGACACAATTGCTGAGATCCACCAGAATCCTATACCAGTTTCTCGTCTGGCTATAGGGACGTAGTCAAATGTATCTCTGAACCATCTGAATGTGATCACTGTGAGTGGCTGCAAGGGATCAGGAGGGTATATACCTCCTGGTATGATTAGGAAAGATTCCAGTTAGAAACTTTAGTGATCCATTGTTAGTAAGTATAAGCCATGAATGGTTTGCAGGTCAACAGCTGCAATTAGGTATGGCCCCGTAAAGTATACTAGTTCTGCAAATGAAACTAGATCACAGTTAGTTTTCATTGACTTCCAAACCTACTATAGCAGGTATGGGCAAACCCAGGCCCGGATGTGGCCCCTTGGGTTCTTTTCTCAGGCACTCCTCTCTCACACCATCCTATCCTTCCTTCCTGCTTCCCTCTCCCTTCCTTACTTTCCTCATTCTCTCTCCTTCCTTCACTTCTACCTTTTTGTCCTTTCTTCCCTCTTTCCTCCCTCCTTCCCTTTCTCATTCTCCTCTTCCTCCCCTTTTCCCTTTCCTCCTTCCCTCCCTCTCTTCCATCCTTCTCTCCCTCCCTCCCTTTTTTTCCTTCCTCCTTTCTTCCTGGCGGATGTTTACCTTGGAGAAGCGAGAGAGGAACACGAGAACCATGTTTCAAGATTTAAAAGGGTGTCCCATTGAGGAGGGGAAACTGACTTTTTGCTGCTCTAGAGACCAGGGCACAAGGGAGCAATGATTTCAAATGGCAGTGAAAGAGATTTGACTGAAAAAATTAGGAAGAACTTCCTGAGAGTAAGAGTTGTTGGAGAGTGGCATAGGCTGCCTGGGAGTGTGGTGGAGTCTTCTCCTCTGGAGGCTTTCCGCGGAGGTTGTCTTTTGAGAGTGCTTGGATTGTGCCTTCTTGCATGGCAGGTGGTTGGATTAGATGGCCTTTGGGGGTCTCTTCCATCTCTAGGATTGAAGAATTATTTATCAGGGGTAGGCAATATGGGGTCTAAAGGCAGACTTTTTATCTCCCGTCCACCATCTCATCCTGACTCTTTTGGGATTCAAACTTTTCCTGTCTTTCCTTCACTTTCTGCCTCCAAAAGAGAAGAGGAAGGGGAGGAAAGGGCAGATAGGGTGCTTGTGGAGACCTCCCTCCCTCCCAGCCCATCCACCCCACTCTGGCCCACCATGCAGCCCCCATGCCTGTACTATAGGGTCAATGTGGCTCCTCCTGTTATTCTGTGCCTTAGAAGAGTGGGGGCTCAAGCAAAGGTGTCCATTCTTGGTAGAGACAATTAGTCAGCTAGATGGACTATTGGCCAAAGCATTTTGTTTTGTATCCTGCACTGGATTAGTCATCTAAATAAGAAATGAAACATACTTTAGTTTCCTCCTTTAGAATTCATTCTATGAAATAGGAATGGGAAATGTGTAATCACCAAGGTAGGATTTGCAGTGCTACCTCTGAAAAACCACACATTTCAACATCCATTTATGGTAGCTTTTCTGAAACTGGGGGCCTTCAGATGTATTGCTCTACAGCTTGCTTTGTTCCCACCCTTTAGTTATGGGAGTTACATTTCATATATTTTGATGACTTCATATTTAAAACATAGCACCTCCATTTCCATTCTATCATTGTGCATTTAAAATTAAGAATTACAGGATTTTCACAACATATGCTTTTAATGGACTGGAAAGTAAGAATTGTTTTCATGTATTTGTTAAAAATCTGTTTTCCACAGGTTGTCCAGGAGGCTCTGGATAAAGCCAGACAAGGGCGTACCTGCATCGTAATAGCTCACCGCTTATCTACAGTGCAGAATGCAGACTGTATAGCTGTGATCCAAAATGGTAAAGTCATAGAACATGGAAGACACCAGCAGCTACTGGCTATGAAAGGAGTCTATTACTCTCTAGTCAATGTTCAGGCAGGAACAGCTACTGAATAAATTAAAAAGTGAGCACTGCTGATGTGGATTTCGTTTTAAAGAAGGCCACAGCAACAGATACTCCTTATACCATCTCCATCTTATGCAAAATAACCTTGCGGTAGTGACGGACTGAGCTCCATAAGGGTTATTAACATGACATTTCCCTGCCTGGACACTTTTTCCTCAGCTGAGGTCAGTACAATGTACATTTTGGAAAGTGTGATTAGATGTGTGTCATTCCAAGCACTCGATGTCCAAAACAGCAACAAAACATACAGAAGTGTTGAAGAAAGAAAACCACTTTATGTTCTACATGGCTCAGAGACCAATGATCACAAACAGTTTCAAAGTTTGATCAAATACACCTAGATCCTGGAACCCAGTTGTGCTGGGAAAAGGTTTCAAAGCATTTTTCAAGTATCTTGGCATGATGAACCTCGACATTGGACGAGGGACAACACTGCAGATGTTGTTGGACTCACACCGTGCCTCAATATTATCTCTGCTCTTTAGGGATGATGATAGTTACTCTTTCAGTGTTGGAAGAGCTACAACTGCCAACCCCTGCTTTAAAGGAAATCTGCTTGAGATGAAGGCCTCCACAAGATTTAGTTATCTGTCCTTCGGTAGTACATAACACTAGTATAGGATACTGTAATTAACTATTTTATAATCACAACTTATAACTCTTTCATATTACTTTGAAATGTCATGAGCCACTTCATGACTCAGTGAGATATAAACATAGAAGAATCAAAGCATGTAAAATGTGTTTTCATTCTCAATTAGCACAGAGCTGATATTCAATTCTATCCGTGTGAGTCATTTGCCAGATGACCCATTTTTATAAGTTGCTTACCTGTAACTGTAGTTTCCCGAGTAGTCATCTGTGAATTCGTACATTTGGTAACTCTGCGCCTGCGTAGTGCAGCTTTCAGAACCTTCTAGAAGATAAAATAACATTTTAAGCCCAGCTGGTCCTGCCCACCCCCTTCTCGAGTATATATGGCCCGTGGGCGGGGCCAGCCGACAGTTCTCTTCCGCCGCAAAGCAGCCAGAAGACGTGGCATGAACTCGAGGGGAGGATAGGCGGGTATGTACGAATTCACAGGTGACTACTCAGGAAACTACAATTACAGGTAAGCAACTTATAATTTCCTGTCGTAGTCACTGTGAATCGTACATTTGGTAGAGTAGCAAGCTACTGTCCGTGGATGGCGGGTGTCATGTCACCGCAGAAAACAAGACTGCTCTCCCAAACTGGGCATCTCTCCTTGAGGCAACGTCTAACTTGTAATGAGTCACAAATGAAAGAGGCGAAGTCCAGATGGCCGCCCGGCACACATCATCCAAGGGGACGCCTTTCCAGAAGGCCGTAGACGTCGAAACTGACCTTGTAGAGTGTCCTCTAACAGGAGGAGGTAGGTCCTTGCCAGCCAATCGATAACACAATTGTATCGTGGACACAAGCCAAGCTGACAGCCTTTGGGAAGAGGCAGGTAAACCCAAAACGTCAGAGTGGTATTTAACAAATAACTTGGGGGATTTCCTAAAAGACGCCGTTCTGTCCACATAAAAGGCAAGTGCCCTGCGGACATCAAGAAGATGCAAACCCCTTTCCAGAGGTGAAGTGGGATTTTGAAAAAAGGCCGGTAATACCAAATCCTGTGAAATGTGAAAACTTATAGAAACCTTCGGAAGGAAGGCTATGTCAGTCCGCATAACCACCTTATCCCTATGAAACTTGATGTAAGGTGGATCAGCCCTAAGGGTACACAGTTCGCTGGCCCTTCTAGCCAACGTGATGGCGACCAAGAAAGCAGTCTTCCACGAAAGGCAAGGGAGACTAGCAGACGCCAAAGGTTCAAAAGGGGGCTTCATCAATGAGTTTAGCACGAGCTCCAAGCTCCATGAAGGAATGATGGGGGCTACAGTGGGTCTAGTGTTCATGACCCCTCTCAAGAAGGTTTTTACTAAAGGATCTGTGAAACAAGAAACCAGGCCAGCTTTTCTCCGAAAAACCACAAGATAGTGGCCAAATAATACTTTAAGGAAGGGTATGACGGGCCAGCATCCAACAGGGACACCAGGAAGTCTAAGATCATGGGAATAGTAGCAACTTTAGGATCAACTCCTCGAGTCCTAGCAAAGGAAACGAAGCGTGACCATTTATAGAGGTAGGATCGTCTGGTAGACGGCCTGTGCACTGCCTCGATGATGTTCAGTACCGAATGAGACAAACTGGAGGACGGGGCTGTCGGGGTAGGATCCGCCAAGCAGTCAACCTCAGTTTGTGTACCTCTGGGTACAGCACTTGACCCCCTTGTGATGTTAACAGATCTGTCCTCAGTGACAGGCGAGTGAAGACTCCCCACGTCAACTGGCGTAGCAGGGAGAACCATGGTTGTCTCGGCCACCAAGGTGTGATTAGGATGCAATTGGCGTTGTCCCTCCGGGCCTTCGCTACGACACGTAGCAGAAGCGGGAACGGAGGGAAGGCATAGGTTCTCCGACCCGTCCATGTGTGGAGGAAGGCATCTCCCAAGCAACCGTTCCCTAGGGAGGCATGGGTCCTTGCACAGAAAGAGGGCATTTCGCATGGAAGCGAGTTGCGAACAGGTCCACCTCCGGAGTTCCCCAGGCCCTGAAAAGTCTGAGGACTTCCTCCGGATGTAGGGACCATTCGTGGTGGGCTAGTGGATTCCGACTGAGGGAGTCCGCCAGAAGATTTTGTTCCCCCGGCACATGGGTCACTAACAAGTGTATCCCTCTGTCCAAACACCAGTCCCATATTCTCATGGTCAGAGATAAGAGAATTTGGGAGTGTGTCCCTCCTTGCTTGTTGAGGTAATACATTACCGTGGTGTTGTCAGTGAGAATGTGTATTACCTGACCTGTGACTAGCATCTCGAAGGACTTTAGGGCCTTTTCTATGGCCAGAAGCTCTAGTGCGTTTATGTGAAGGGTGCCTTCGTGCATTGACCAAGTACTGTGAGCCACTAGCCCATGGGAATGCGCACCCCAACCCGTGAGGGAAGAGTCCGCGGTAATTGCTCTTGTGGCGTGAGGAACGTGAAAAGACATTCCCGAACAGGCCCACGCCGGGTCCCGCCAACACTGGAGTGAAGACCAAACACGTGGCGGGGGGGGGGGAAGTTTGGTAGAGGGGCTGTCCGTCAAGGGGTTGAAATTGGACAGGAACCTGTACTGGAGTGGCTGCATACGCAACCTGGAATAGGGGATGACCGATGTGGTTGATGCCATGTGGCCCAGCAGAATCTGGAACTGTTTTGCTGGCAGGTACGGCGCCATCATGGCCTGCGATGCCAGTTCCCGAAGGCTGGCGAAGTGGTCTTCCGGGAGGAATGCCCTCTCGGAAATGGAGTCCAGGAGTGCCCCGATGAACTGGATACGCTGGGACGGCACCAGGTTCGACTTCTCCCAGTTGACCACGAGGCCCAGCTCCAGGTCCTTCCGTGTTCGCGGGGTGAAGGCCGCACAAATCGGGCAGGATTGGGTGAGGTAACCCTCGCCCAAACAGGTTAAATATAAAGAATGTCCATCTGTGTCCGGCAAAGTGCTAGGACAATTGGAGCACCTCTTAAAAGAGGTGGTGGACATAGTGGCAGATCGTGGTCAAACGAGCCGGGTCAGGAAGGGAGAAATTGGAGTAGTCGAACAGTCCGGATCAAGCACGTGAGTAGATAAGAGTGAGTCCAATAATCGTAATCCAAATACCTTAGTCCAAAAAACAGTCCGGTAAGCCAAAAAGCCAATAAAGAGAGAGAAAGCTCGCAGAGGAAAGGTTCTCAAGCTGCTGACATGAGCGCAAAAAAGAGAACTGTTGGCTGGCCCCGCCCACAGGCCATATATACTCGAGAAGGGGGGTGGGCGGGACCAGCTAGGCTTAAAATGTTATTTTATCTTCTAGAAGGTTCCAAAAGCTGCACTGTGCAGGCGCAGAGTTACCAAATGTACGAATTCACAGTGACGACGACAGGAAATCACTTTGCATAGGACCTCCGATCTTACAGAGCAGGTGCCTGACGTTTTCTCTTTTTGAGATCAAGTGGTGTTTGATGGAAGAAGCCTCTTTGGTGATTCCTTCTACCTCCTTCTCACAAGAAGCATCAGTTGCTGCTTTCTCACTTAAAATGTGAGCATATTTTGATAGCAAAGTGTTGATCTCTTTGCTTGTGTCATTCAGCATGGTGTCCAGGGTTTCGCTTTGGGGTTGTGCGGGAGAGGATTCGGAAAGAGAGGCATCTTTCTTTTGCAGGATTTCGGAGTCCTCACTCTCTGCTTCCTCTTGACGTTTTCTTTTCTTCCCCTCTGACGACCCAGGGTTACTTGTTATTGCTGCCTTGTAAAAGCAACTGGATCCAGAAAATGTGAAGGATATGTTTCCAACAGGCCTGTAGATGTGGTTGGTTTGTTGGCCAATGATGTGTCCAGGAAGCTTAGAATTGAGACCTCTGGGCAAGGGGTAGCAGGTGTCAAAAACTGGCCCATAGGGACCGGCTGCAATAAGGTCTGCTGGTTTGAGTGGTGAGCCTGGGAATTGGTGGACTCTGGCTAGCAGTCAATAGAACCCTGGTCATCCAGCAGTTTTCAGGATGTAATCAGCCACTTTGCAAACAGGAGGGCATGTCCCACCAGACACTCCCTGGAGGCAATTTAGGGCCCGGGCAACAGCGCAGGAGGTGGCCAGCTGTGTGCGCTCCAGCCGCAGCGGGCTGCCACTGGCCAGCTGAGCGTGCACACCCGGCAATAGGGTGCGCTCAACCCTAGTGCCAGGCCTAACAAGAGGCCAAGAAAAAATGGCCTAACAGAAGAAGGAAGGAGGCGGCAGGGGCTGGTGGAAGAAGCCCCCAACCCGGGCCGCCCCTCACATGGCTACACCAGCCGATGCGCCGCGGCAAAAAGGAGGCAGCGCACGATTGGCTGGGAGTCCTCTTCGCGCACGCATGCGCGCAAAAAAAAAAAAAACCAAAGAAAGGAAAGAAAAAAAAGGAAGCGCGGCCTTAGCCCCCACGCCAAGAGCGACGGGGAGGCCTGAGCCGGCTGCCGCAGAAAAGTGAGCTGAGGGAAGAGTGTGAAGCTGGGGGTGGGGGAGCAGAGGCCCAAAGCACCCTCTTGGGACAAAAGCAGCCCTCACGTCAGGGCCCACCACCACCAAAAGTGGCAAGTGGACCTCCGAGGAGCCGCTTAACAACCACCCCCAACCCGGGGGGGGGGGGGTTGGGAGAAGGGGCAAAGGTGGGGGGAGGGAGGGGGCCAATACCAGGCCGCCACCCCCCACCGCCACCCCCAAGACAGACCTCACGTCCTCTTCCCTTTGGTAGTATTGTGATGACCGTAACAGCAAAACTATGTTAAGTGCCTGGGAAAAAATGTCTATTACCTTAACATTTTCTAAAGCTATTATACAGAATGCATCTGCCAAAAAATACACTGTATATTTTATTTTCAACTGAAGGGTGTAATGTGAACATTTGGAATGTATTTATTTACGATAGTTAAGTCTTTTTGTAAACAATTATACTTCCCATTAGATGAAAAATGTAGGATTTAAGTGGTGTTGTTTTCCCCTGCTATACAAGCACAGTCTGGCAGTCGACTTGGTGTATGTACAGTATCCAAAATGACTGGTTAACCTTACACCTCTCAAATGTTAGAAAGCTGGTTACCCAATATATTACATTCTCAAGTGAATATTTTCTATGTATTCATAATTTCATCTCCAATCTTGACACAA